GACGAATAAGGAGGGTACAGCGACGGATTGCCCAGTACTGATCCACGGGAAAATACAGGGAGCAGCAGTGAAGATATTTATCGACGGAGGAGCAAGCCACAGTTTAGTTAATACCGCAACCGCAAGGAAACTGCAACTGACACTTAGCCGGTGTTTACCAGAGATCGACGCACGCTTAGTTGACGGCACGCCGCTGGCCATACGGGAGAAGGTGGAAAGAGTAAAAGTTCGCTGCGGGGGAAACTTCGGGTTTACACAGGAAATGCTCGCGACGACACTGGATGGGCACGACATATTACTGGGACGTGATTGGCTGCGACGCTACAACCCGCGAATTGACTTGACGACAGGAAGCTGCACTGTGCGAAGTAGTGGAAAACTGGGTCGAACTACCCCGCTGGCAGTCGCCTGAGTCTTCAACGGTCCACGTCAACGCCATCACGATGAAACGGGCAGTCGCCGCTGAAGCTGACGTGTACGCAGTGGACATTGCAGTAGTAGGAGAAGCAGAGCATCCGAACGATTTTCAAAAACTGTTAGCCGCAGTACCACCCGCACTACAGGAGCTGTTGAAAGGGTACCCAGGGATTTTTCCCGACGACTTACCGGAGGGGCTGCCACCTCAGCGGGCGCATGACCATAGGATAGAGTTAGAACCGGGGGCACAACCAACTGTACAGCGCCAGTTCAGACTGACACAGCCCGAGCTCGACGAACTGAGGAAGCAGTTAGATTATCTGTTAGAGAAGCAATTTATCCGGCCGAGTTCATCACCGTTCGCCGCACCGATACTGTTCACGCCGAAAAAAGACGGAGGATTTCGCATGTGCATCGATTACCGAGCGCTCAACAGGGTAACAGTCAAGTCCCGGTACCCCATTCCCCGCGCCGACGAACTGATCGACCAACTACGAACAGCACGGGTTTTTTCGAAAATAGATTTACGGGGAGGTTACCATCAGATTAGGGTCGAACCATCGGACTGCGCCAAAACAGCTTTCAGGACTAGGTACGGGTCGTTCGAATACACGGTGATGCCATTCGGGCTGACCAACGCACCAGCGACATTTCAGATGACCATGAACGAGGCGTTTAGGCCACTTTTAGATAAATGCGTGATAGTTTACCTCGACGACATCCTTGTCTACAGTCGTGACAAGCAGCAGCATTTAGCGGATCTGGAAGCAGTTTTTCGGATTTTAGATAAGCATCGGTTACTGACCAAAGGTTCTAAGTGCGAGTTTTTTCAGGACAGGCTAGAGTTTTTGGGGCACGTTATTTCGGAGGCTGGGGTTGAGATTGACCCAAAGAAGCTGGACACAGTCAAAGCCTGGCACCCCCCGACGAATATCACGGAGCTGCAGAGTTTTTTGGGGTTTGTTAATTACGTCCGTCGGTTCGTCCCCGACATGGCTCGCTTAACAGCCCCACTGACGGATCTGCTGCGGAAGGGGGTCGTTTTTACGTGGGGGGAGAAAGAGCATGCTGCCTTCTCTGCCCTGAAAAATGTTCTCTGCTCACCGCCCGTCTTGCGCATCGCCGACCCACACCGCCCATTCGAAGTAGTTACCGACGCAAGTGACATCGCCATCGGAGCCGTACTGCTACAGGATTTCGGCAACGGCCTACAGCCCATCGCATACGAGTCACGAAAACTGCATCCGCCCGAGAAAAATTACCCGATACACGACCGCGAAATGCTTGCGATCGTGCACGCGTTCAAAGTATGGCGCTGTTACTTGACCGGTGCGGACGTGACCGTACGGACAGACCATAAATCACTACAGTATCTTCGCGCACAGCCACACCTCAACCCACGACAGATTCGCTGGCTCGATTTCCTCGAGTCAAACTTCCACTACACGGTCACCTACAAAAAGGGAGCATCCAACATAGCTGACGCACTGACCCGCCCCACTGCCCAAATCCACGCGATACTACTCGCCCAGACCAGCCCGCTACTGACAGGACTATTTAACCACGGGTATCAAACGGACCCATTCTTCACAGGAGGAAATTCGCAGCAGTTCGCAGCAGCCAAGGGAGTCTATTACGTAAAAGCCGGGACCGACCGCATCTGGGTACCAGGGTACACACTGCTACGGGGATTACTGTTACAGGAGGCACACGGCGGAGTTACCTCGGGACATTTCGGGGTAGAGAAAACACGGCAGCAGCTGCAGCGGCATTATTACTGGCCTGAAATGTTGACCGACGTTCAACGACACGTGGCATCGTGTCCCACTTGCCAGATCATGAAGTCATCACGGAAGCGGCCGGCAGGACAGTTGCAGCCGATACCACCCCCAGAGCGTGCTTGGCAGCAGGTGACGATGGACTTCGTCACGGGGTTACCGGCCGGAGCGAGTGGGAATGACGCGATCCTGGTCGTCGTCGATCGACTGACGAAAATGGCACACTTCGCAGCCTGCAAAAAGTCAATCACAGCCGAAGAAACAGCCCGCCTCTTCATCTCTACCGTCGTTCGACTGCACGGGATACCAGCATCGATCATCAGCGACAGAGACACGAAATTCACCAGCAACTTCTGGCGGAACCTGTGGCAGCAGTTCGGCACACGACTACAGTTTAGTTCATCATACCACCCCGAAACCGACGGACAGACAGAACGGACAAATCAGACCATGGAACAACTCATCCGCGCCACGTGCGACGACCCGACAACGTGGGAACAGCAACTGCCACTCATCGAATTCGCGTACAACAACTCGCCATCCGCCACAACTCAACAGTCACCATTTTACCTGAATTACGGACAAGACCCCACAGTACCCATGACCCCGAATCCCGACAATCCAGTCCCACGCGCGCAACAGTTCGCAGAAATATTGCAAGCAGCACGGACCCGAGCATCAGAAGCAATAAAAAAATCAAACGTCATCGCTAAGCGCAACGCCGACCGACACCGCCGCCCCGTCACTTACCAACCCGACGACCTGGTATTACTCGACACTCAAAACCTCCGCTTGCCCGTCACCCCAAAACTCCGCCCCCGCTACTGCGGGCCATTTCGCATCAGCCACATGATCACCCCCGTCACCGCCCATCTCCTCCTCCCTGCTGACTGGTACGTCAGCCCGTCATTCCACGTCAGCCTGCTTCGCCCATACGTGCCATCCACCAGCCAACTGCCTCGCAACCGCCCCGCCAGCATGACACGACCACCGACTGAGCCAATCATCACGCCTGAGAAAATACTGAGCCATCGAGTACGTGACCCACGGGGAGCCCGCAGAATCGAATTTCTGATCGGCTGGAGGGACCGCACGCCCACCGAAGACAACTGGGTCCCCCTGGATAGAATTGAGAATCACCCTGTCCTCACTGAGTATCTGCGAAGCCGAAACTTCCGAGATATACACGCACTCTCGTAAGAGGGGCCTCCTTGGGGAGGGGGGTAGTGTAAGGAAAATTCCTTTTCCTTACTTCGCGTCCCTGCTCAGCGCGTACAGCACTATTCTCGCCAACAGCACCCAACAGTAATCCGTTACCACTCGCGACACTCGCTTCGACACTGTTCCCGCCACTGTTCACGACGCGACCCAACCTCACGGTTCGGTTGGTAACCCGCGCTCCGGACCTCCGCCTCGACACTTCCCAACCTCGGCGCCAGGCCCGTCGCGCACCCCTTTTTCTACGCATTACCGTTACCACTGTAGCTTCGCTATATATTCTTCGCTCATGCCTTCGCTCATTGTACTCTTGCTTCGATAGTGCAATCTGTCAGTAGAGCTGCACTGTGAGATCCCCGATCGATCCTAGGGGGGGTTACAGGCGCGTATGCCTGGGGGGTTATGGGCGCACTGACCCGCTACTTAACAAGCCCTTTTATCCCAATGGTCTAGTGGTTGGGATTCTGACATGGTATCAGAGCGGTCTCGGGTTCGAATCCCGGTGTATGCACATGTAGGCCGTTGCCGCTGTGCTCAGTCCTGGGCCTCCCATTGTGGGGGGGTGTCAGTAGAGCTGCACCGTGAGATCCCCGATCGATCCTAGGGGGGGTTACAGGCGCGTATGCCTGGGGGGTTATGGGCGCACTGACCCGCTACTTAACAAGCCCTTTTATCCCAATGGTCTAGTGGTTGGGATTCTGACACAATCCTCGCTCGCTCACTCAATTGCACTCGTAACAACGGGCAAAGGTGAAAAATGTAACACATCCTTATCGGTTTGATCGAACATTCGGCCTTGGAGAACAGGTCAAGAGGTAAAAAGCGCTCCCAGGTGGGCTTGAACCACCGACCTTATGGTTAACAGCCATACGCTCTAACCAACTGAGCTACGAGAGCTGTCGTCGCTACATTGTTTTTGCATTTTGGTAATGTACATTGATGTGACCAGGTCGAGCACGGCTCACATCACATCAAGGACTTGCCTTACGCGAATGCAGTTCCTCACGCCCTCTGCGTGAAGCGTTGCGATGGAAGGAAGGGTAGCACGGATAATGCAGGGATAAACCGGATCTCGACGCGTTACCTCTCGTAGCAATGGATGACGGCGAGTGGAGCGAGGTGCCGTCTCGTCAGGCGGGACGCGGGAGAGGCGCGCGCCAGCCGCAGCGCCAGCAGCTGCCTCAGCTGATTCGACCGCAACTCGCGCCGTCCTCCGGAATTCTCGGGCCAAACCCCGCGTTTAGCGGGCCTGCGGCAGCGCAAGGCCGCGGAAGTGGAGGCGGAGATCGCGGAAGGGGAAGCGGCGGGCGTGGCGCGAATAGAGGGGGAGGTAGGGGCGGGGGCGCTAGCGACGGCGGCGGAGCTGCAGGCGGACGCGGACGGGGAGCGGGCGGAGGCGGGGGAACTGGCGGAGGAGCCAGCGGAGGCAATGGCGCAAGCTCCAATTGGTCTGGCGGAATCGAGAGAAGCGGAAGGGGAGGGGGAGATGCGCGCACAGGCGGAAGCGGACCAGGCAGGGGCGGCGGAGGCGGAGGAGGGGGATCGGGAGGGTGGGGACCGAACCGTAGCATGGGTACTAATAGTAGCATGGGCGGTAATAGTAGTGCCGGGAGCAACAGCGCTAGCAGCACCGCCGCCGCCGGTTCCGCTTCGTCTTCCGCCGCGCCTACCGCTGGCGGATTCCCCACTTCCGCCGCGGTCCCCCAGCCTTCCGCGTTCCCTTCCGCGTTTTCCTCCGCCATGCGCCCGCTCCCCTTCATCACGGACCCCGCGCGCCTGGCGCAGCAGTTCCCCGCGCTGCTCTCTGACAGCAGCGACGAGGAGGGGGAGGGGGACGAGGCGGACGCGGAGGGGGAGGGGGAAGGCGCGGAAGGGGGAGGGCGATCCAAGGGGAAGGCTAGTGTGGAACGGCTAGAAGAGGCGATTTTCGGGGCTTATCTAGCAGGGAGGGGGGGGGGAGGGGGAGGGGGAGGCGGAGGAGGAGGAGGGAGGAGGGCGGGGAGTGGCGTTCCCGAACCTGTTTCTGCCGATCCTACTTTCACAGCAGGTCTGGAGAAGATCCGAGACCACCTGAACGCCGTCCAATCGGGCGGCGCCAGCTGTCTGGTGTGCCTGGAGAGGATCAGATCGTCAGATCCGATCTGGTCCTGCCGGGGCGGCTGTTACTGTTCACTCCATCTTGTCTGTATTCAGTCGTGGGCTAGACAGGGAATCCAAGCCTCCTCTCTCTCCTCCTCCTCCTCTAAGGGCCAACCAGTAGCTGCCACGTGGCACTGCCCCAAGTGCCGAACCGAGTATCCTGAGCGTGATCTGCCTCGGGAATACCAATGCTACTGCGGGCGGGTGAAGGATCCCCCCTTTGATCCCTGGCTGGCCCCCCATTCTTGTGGGGAACCGTGTGAGAGAGAGCTGAGAGGAGGGGGAGGCGGAGGCGGAGGAGGAGGGGGAGGGGAGGCGGAGAGGGAAGCTGACGTGGCGTGTGGTCATAAATGCACGTTGCTGTGTCACCCCGGCCCCTGTCCCCCGTGTCCCCAGCTCATTCGCTCCCGCTGCCACTGTGGCAAGAAAGAGGATGTTTGCCGCTGCGGGCAGCATGAATTTTCCTGCGCTGCCCGCTGCGGCAGCCGCCTCGCCTGCGGCATCCACTCCTGCGACGCCACGTGTCATCCGGGTAGCTGCCCGCCCTGCGACCGAGAGGGAAGCTTTTCTTGCCGATGCGGGCAGGTGAAAAAAACCCTTCCCTGCGCAAAAAGAAATTTCAGCTGCGGGAAGATCTGCGGGAAAAAGTTTCCGTGCGGGCGGCACAAGTGCGAGGTGGAGTGCCATGCGGGGGACTGCGGCGAATGCCCGCTTTCGGGCAGGCGAAGCTGCCCGTGCGGGAAGAAATCGTACGAGGGGTTACCCTGTGACAAGCCGGCGCTTCCCTGTGGGGCGACGTGCGAAAAGCCTTTGGCTTGCGGGCGGCACGTGTGTGCGGAGCGGTGTCACGTGGGGGAGTGCTCGAAAAGCTGCCTTATTGTGGTGGTGAAGGGGTGCCGATGCGGCGGAGTGAGTAAAGAGGTGAGTGAGACTCCTGTGACTGCTGGTTGCATTGGTGCATGCATGCATGGCACGTGTGTGTGGAGCGGTGCCATGTGGGGGAGTGCTCCAAGACGTGCCTTATTGTGGTGGTGAAGGGGTGCCGATGCGGCGGAGTGACGAAAGAGGTGAGATCCCTGTAAGAAAGGAAAGGATAGAGAGGGGGGGGGAGTGGTTGTGACTACTTTTGAGGCGTCTCAGACGTCATCCTTGTAAGGAAAGGGGAGTTTGTGTGTCTGAGTTGAATCAAACCACTCCCCTGAGTGGGTTGGTGCATCGCATGGGATGTGTGTGTGGAGAGGTGTCACGTGGGGGAGTGTTCGAAAACCCCCCTTGTGGTGGTGAAGGGGTGCCGGTACGGTGGAGTGACGAAAGAGGCGAGGGAGAGGCTTATAACAAAGTGGTGCTTATCTTGCCCTGTACTGCTGCATTGCGTTGCATGGCATTGCATGACATGTGTGTGTGGTAAAGAGATGCGCCACGTGTGCTTAAACCCTGCCTTATTGTGGTGGTGATGGGGTGCCGGTGTGGCAGAGTCAGTAAAGAGGTGAGCGAGAGCCTTATAACGAGAAGGTGCTTGTTGTGCCTAATCTGGGTGCATGCATGGTATTGCAAAGCATTGCATGACATGTGCGTACGGAGAAGATGCATCACGTGGGGGAGTGCTTGTAACAAGGGGAGTGCGTATGATTGTGGTGGTCAAGGGGTGTCAGTGCGGCGGACTGAGGTGACTTTTGAGTCGACTCAAAAGTCACCTTGTAACTTGTACGATTGTGGTGGTCAAGGGGTGTCAGTGCGGCGGACTGAGTAAGGAAGTGTCGGCTTGTACTTGATCGCTGCTGCCAGTGGGACAGGCAGTGCGGTGCGGTGCAGTGCAGTGGGTCAGTTCAGTTAACACTCCTTTCCCATCCATCACACCCGCTCTCTTCGTCTCTCCTCTCGGCCCCAACCAGCTAGGTATGCCTGTGCAATTGCCTCTGCCAGTGTGGCAGGCCGTGAGATTCATTTAGTCAGACTAAATGACTCATGGATCTTCAACACAGCCTCTCCCTTCTCCCTCCAATTAGGGAGCATGAGCCTCTGCCAGTGTGGCAGGCCATGAGATTCATCTTTGCATCCCAACACAGCCTCTCCCTTCTCCGTCCTCCAATTATTGCTTGCTCTCTGTCCAAACCCAACAGCTCCCCTGCCATCAGGAGTACCTCTGCGATCGCCGCTGCCAGCGTGGCAGGCCGTGCGGGCGCCACCTGTGCAAGCGACGCTGCTGTGCTGGCGACTGCCCCCCCTGCCCCGAGGTGAGGGTTCTCCCTGACCTGTCTAAGGGTAAACTTTTGTGTTGTGTGTCTTAAGGTGCTGTCCCTCTCATCTCGTGCTGCTGTCCCTGTCCTGTGCAAGCGCCGCTGCTGTGCTGGCGACTGCCCCCTCCCTGCCCTCCGCACCGCAGCTCACTGGCATAATGTTTGGCCGACTGCACTGCAGCATGTTCGTGAGATTTCAAGTAGAATTCTCAAAAAACAGATTGAGATCTCTAAAAATGGTCCCCGGCCGGTACACTATGTACCGCAGCCCACTGATTCTAGTTTTGAGGCGCCTAAAAAACGTACCCCTGCCCACTGATTCTAGTTTTGAGGCACCTAAATAACGTACCGCACCCCACTGAGACCACATCCTCCTGTGAGTTGGGTGAGGGGGGAGGCGAGTGGCACTGTGAGCTGTGGTACTCTGTCCAACCAACGAGGTGACTTTTGAGTCGACTCAAAAGTCACCTCGAGTGGCACTGTGAGCTGTGGTACTCTGTCCAACCAACGAGGTGACTTTTGAGTCGACTCAAAAGTCACCTCGAGTGGCACTGTGAGCTGCGGTACTCTGTCCAACCAACGAGGTGACTTTTGAGTCGACTCAAAAGTCACCTCGAGTGGCACTGTGAGCTGTGGTACTCTGTCCAACCAACGAGGTGACTTTTGAGTCGACTCAAAAGTCACCTCGAGTGGCACTGTGAGCTGCGGTACTCTGTCCAACCAACTGCCCTCCTGCACGCAAGTGATTCGTGCCTTCACGTCACGAGGCTGCAAGGCTGGCTGTGGGCTACTTCGTTTGAGTCGACTGATACGTGTTGTGTGCCAGTGAAACGAGGTGAGGGTTCTCCCTGACCTGTCTCAGAGTATACTGTGGTGTTGTGTGCCAGTGAAACGAGGTGACCTTTGAGTCAATTCTAAAGTCCCGCACGCTTTTAAATTGACTCTAAGGGCAGAAGGCTGCATCTGCACGCCACTTGTTCTTTATTCTTCTCATTACTTTCTGCTTTGCTTGCATGTGTCTTTACCGTTGCTATTTTCTTACGCTAAAATTTTCTTTCTTAATGCTTGTGTGTGCAGGTGTGCGGTCGCAAGTTGCGGTGTGGTAACCACAGGTGTCCAGCTCCTTGCCACAGGTCAGCTAAGCCCCTAGCTTCAGTTAACAGTGCCACTTGCCTCCTCCCTTTCTCAACTCACCCCTTTCACACTGCCTTGTACCTTCCCCCCCTTACCTTTCCCCCCCCAATTTTCACCCCATGCGTTGCCTGCTTGCTGTCCATGCTTTCCCACTTCTTCCCGATGCCTTGGCTCCCTGCTTTCCTCTCTCCTCCCTCCCACCCCTCCAGCGGCCCCTGTGCCCCCTGCCCTGTTACAGTGCGCATCGCATGCTTCTGAGTTAGTAGCTTGTTCCTGCTGCTGCTAACACATCTCTCCCACTTCCTCTCTCCCCTCCGCCCTCCCTCCCCCACCCTCTCCCCAGCGGCCCCTGTGCCCCCTGCCCTGTTACAGTGCGCATCGCATGCTTCTGTGGCACCACTGCTTTTTCTGTGAGTCGCGCGCTCTCTCTCTCTCTCTCTCTATTGCAACTTATGCTTGGCTGGGAAGTTGCAATAGTGACAGAAGGGGAGCCCAGCAACTCCGGAGAGTCTGATTTTGCTGGACTTTTCCTCAATAGATTTCAGATTATAACTCTGTAGGCTCCTTCTCTTCATCTCACCCTTGTCTTCTCTTGTTTTTTGTTGGATGTACCACAACTTTCATTGCTCTCCCCTCTTGCTTTTGCTGCCCTCTCCCTGTTCGCCATCCCTCCATGCCTCTCAGGTCCCCTGTGGAGCAGAGAAGCAGCAGCGCCCACCCAGATGCCACATGCGGTGCTCCATACCCCCGGACCCTGGTTCCCCTCTCTCCTCATATGCTCGCTCGCTCCCTTCCCTTCTCCCCTCCATGCCTCTCAGGTCCCCTGTGGAGCAGAGAAGCAGCAGCGCCCACCCAGATGCCACATGCGGTGCTCCATACCCCCGGACCCTGGTTCCCCTCTCTCCTCATATGCTCGCTCGCTCCCTTCCCTTCTCCCCTCCATGCCTCTCAGGTCCCCTGTGGAGCAGAGAAGCAGCAGCGCCCACCCAGAGGCCACATGCGGTGCTCCATACCCCCGGACCCTGGTTCCCCTCTCTCCTCATATGCTCGCTCGCTCCCTTCCCTTCTCCCCTCCATGCCTCTCAGGTCCCCTGTGGAGCGGAGAAGCAGCAGCGCCCACCCAGATGCCACATGCGGTGCTCCATACCCCCGGACCCTGGTTCCCCTCTCTCCTCATATGCTCGCTCGCTCCCTTCCCTTCTCCCCTCCATGCCTCTCAGGTCCCCTGTGGAGCGGAGAAGCAACAGCGCCCACCCAGGTGCCACATGCGCTGCCCCGTGCCCCCCACATGCCACCACGGGGATTCCTGTCGGGTGAGTGACTCATGCACCCTCCCCTGCATGCACCCTCCCCTGCATGCACCCTCCCCTGCATGCACCCTCCCCTGCATGCACCCTCCCCTGCATGCACACGACACTCCCATGCACAGTTGCATCCCTATCACCACAGGGCTTTTTTGAGAATTCTCAAAAAAACCCTTTTGAGAATTCTCAAAAGTCTCTGCTGCCATCTCTGCTGCCATCTCTGCTGCGATCTCTGCTGCCATCTCTGCTGCCATCTCTGCTGCCATCTCTGCTGCCATCTCTGCTGCCATCTCTGCTGCCATCTCTGCTGCCATCTCTGCTGCCATCTCTGCTGCCATCTCTGCTGCCATCTCTGCTGCCATCTCTGCTGCCATCTCTGCTGCCATCTCTGCTGCCATCTCTGCTGCCATCTCTGCTGCCATCTCTGCTGCCATCTCTGCTGCCATCTCTGCTGCCATCTCTGCTGCCATCTCTGCTGCCATCTCTGCTGCCATCTCTGCTGCCATCTCTGCTGCCATCTCTGCTGCCGTCTCTGCTGCCGTCTCTGCTGCCATCTCTGCTGCCATCTCTGCTGCCATCTCTGCTGCCATCTCTGCTGCCATCTCTGCTGCCATCTCTGCTGCCATCTCTGCTGCCATCTCTGCTGCCATCTCTGCTGCCATCTCTGCTGCCATCTCTGCTGCCATCTCTGCTGCCATCTCTGCTGCCATCTCTGCTGCCATCTCTGCTGCCATCTCTGCTGCCATCTCTGCTGCCATCTCTGCTGCCATCTCTGCTGCCATCTCTGCTGCCATCTCTGCTGCCATCTCTGCTGCCATCTCTGCTGCCATCTCTGCTGCCATCTCTGCTGCCATCTCTGCTGCCATCTCTGCTGCCATCTCTGCTGCCATCTCTGCTGCCATCTCTGCTGCCATCTCTGCTGCCATCTCTGCTGCCATCTCTGCTGCCATCTCTGCTGCCATCTCTGCTGCCATCTCTGCTGCCATCTCTGCTGCCATCTCTGCTGCCATCTCTGCTGCCATCTCTGCTGCCATCTCTGCTGCCATCTCTGCTGCCATCTCTGCTGCCATCTCTGCTGCCATCTCTGCTGCCATCTCTGCTGCCATCTCTGCTGCCATCTCTGCTGCCATCTCTGCTGCCATCTCTGCTGCCGTCTCTGCTGCCGTCTCTGCTGCCGTCTCTGCTGCCGTCTCTGCTGCCGTCTCTGCTGCCGTCTCTGCTGCCGTCTCTGCTGCCGTCTCTGCTGCCGTCTCTGCTGCCATCTCTGCTGCCATCTCTGCTGCCATCTCTGCTGCCATCTCTGCTGCCATCTCTGCTGCCATCTCTGCTGCCATCTCTGCTGCCATCTCTGCTGCCATCTCTGCTGCCATCTCTGCTGCCATCTCTGCTGCCATCTCTGCTGCCATCTCTGCTGCCATCTCTGCTGCCATCTCTGCTGCCATCTCTGCTGCCATCTCTGCTGCCATCTCTGCTGCCATCTCTGCTGCCATCTCTGCTGCCATCTCTGCTGCCATCTCTGCTGCCATCTCTGCTGCCATCTCTGCTGCCATCTCTGCTGCCATCTCTGCTGCCATCTCTGCTGCCATCTCTGCTGCCATCTCTGCTGCCATCTCTGCTGCCATCTCTGCTGCCATCTCTGCTGCCATCTCTGCTGCCATCTCTGCTGCCATCTCTGCTGCCATCTCTGCTGCCATCTCTGCTGCCATCTCTGCTGCCATCTCTGCTGCCATCTCTGCTGCCATCTCTGCTGCCATCTCTGCTGCCATCTCTGCTGCCATCTCTGCTGCCATCTCTGCTGCCATCTCTGCTGCCATCTCTGCTGCCATCTCTGCTGCCATCTCTGCTGCCATCTGTTCTGCCATCTGTTCTGCCATCTCTGCTGCCATCTCTGCTGCCATCTCTGCTGCCATCTCTGCTGCCATCTCTGCTGCCATCTCTTCTGCCATCTCTGCTGCCATCTCTGCTGCCATCTCTGCTGCCATCTCTGCTGCCATCTCTTCTGCCATCTCTGCTGCCATCTCTGCTGCCATCTCTGCTGCCATCTCTGCTGCCATCTCTGCTGCCATCTCTGCTGCCATCTCTTCTGCCATCTCTGCTGCCGTCTCTGCTGCCATCTCTGCTGCCATCTCTGCTGCCATCTCTGCTGCCATCTCTGCTGCCATCTCTGCTGCCATCTCTGCTGCCGTCTCTGCTGCCGTCTCTGCTGCCGTCTCTGCTGCCATCTCTGCTGCCATCTCTGCTGCCATCTCTGCTGCCATCTCTGCTGCCATCTCTGCTGCCATCTCTTCTGCCATCTCTGCTGCCATCTCTGCTGCCATCTCTGCTGCCATCTCTGCTGCCATCTCTGCTGCCATCTCTGCTGCCATCTCTGCTGCCATCTCTGCTGCCATCTCTGCTGCCATCTCTGCTGCCATCTCTTCTGCCATCTCTGCTGCCATCTCTGCTGCCATCTCTGCTGCCATCTCTGCTGCCATCTCTGCTGCCATCTCTGCTGCCATCTCTGCTGCCATCTCTGCTGCCATCTCTGCTGCCATCTCTGCTGCCATCTCTGCTGCCATCTCTTCTGCAAGGAGGGCACACCCCAGGCGAAAAATACAAGCCCTTCCCCCCCCTTGCCATCCCCTTCCCCCCCTTGTAATCACAGCCGCATCGCTGTCACTACGGGGCGTGCCCCCCTTGCAGCCTCCCTTGCGGCGAGCCCTTTGACTGCAGCCACTCTTGCTTGCTCAGGTGTGCTTCATGCCCCTCAGGTGATTTTTCAGATGTTCTCTCAGGTGTCTTCTCAGGTGTTTTTTTTATCATCATTGGAAGCTTACAACACTGCTAATCTTCCCCCCCACCATGTGGCACGACCACACCCCCCCGCCTCGCCTCCCAGCCGGCCTGTCTCTCTAGTGAGCCTTCTAGAAAGAAGAACCTATTTTTGAGTCGACCCAAAAATAGGCTCAAAAATAGACACGACCACACCCCCCCGCCTCGCCTCCCAGCCGGCCCATCTCTCCAGTGAGCCTTCTAGAAAGAAGAACCTATTTTTGAGTCGACCCAAAAATAGACTAAAACGTAGACACGACCACACCCCCCCGCCTCCCAGCCGGCCCGTCTCTCCTGTGAGCCTTCTAAAAAGAAGAAGAACGGGAAGAAGAAGGTTAAGGAGGAGAATGATTCGATTCGATATCGTGAAAGAGGAGTGATCCTTCTCACTGATCTTTCCTCTTTCCCTCCCTTTCCCTCCCCTTCCTTCCCCCTCCCTCCCCTTCATTCCCTTCCTTTCCTCCCCACCAGGTGCCACGGCCCCCGCCCGCCTCCCAACCCGCCCTTCTCCCTTGAACCACCCAAGAAGAAGAAGAAAGGGAAGAAGGAGGGTGAGCAGGAGGAGGATATGATATCGTTCATACCCTTACCTCTGATCTTCTCCTCTCCCCTTCCTTCCCTCCTCACCCTCAGGTGTCACGGCCCCCGCCCGCCCCCCAACCCGCCCTTCTCCCTTGAGCCGCCCAAGAAGAAGAAGAAAGGGAAGAAGGAGGGCGAGGAGGAGGAGAAGGATGATTCAGAGCTCGTACCCTTACCACTGATCTTCACCCTCCTTCCATTCCCTTCCTTCCATCCCCACACCAGGTGCCACGGCCCCCGCCCACCCCCCAATCCGCCCTTCTCCCTTGAGCCGCCTAAGAAGAAGAAGAAAGGGAAGAAGGAGGTCGAGGAGGAGGAGGGGCAGGGGAAGCCTGGGTCGCCGTGCCCGCCGTGTGTGGTGCCGGTGGTGCGCGAGTGCAGAGGGAGGCACCAGGGGCAGGAGTGCGAGGTAAGAGCGTGCCTATATTGTGGTCATAGCAGGGCAAGCAAAAGAAGCAGGGGCAAGAGCAAGGATCGCCGTGCCCCCATGTGTGGTGCCAGTGGTGCGAGCGAGAGTGCAGAGGGCGGCATGAGGGGCAGGAGTGCGAGATATAAGAGCGTGCCTCTATTGGGGTAGCAAGCGAATCAGGGGAAGTCGGGATTGCTGTGCTCTGTGTGTGTGGTGCTGGTGGTGCGAGAATGCAGAGGCGTCACCAGGGGCAAGGTTGCGAGGTGAGTGCTTCCATCCAGGTACCAGGGAAATCGAGGAAAGCAGGGGTCTCCGTGCCCCCTGGCCATGAGCAAAAAGTCCAACTCCTGTTTGGTTCAACAGGAACACAAACTCCTGTTCGGTTCAACAGGAACACAAACTCCTGTTCGGTTCAACAGGAACACAAACTCCTGTTCGGTTCAACAGGAACACAAACTCCTGTTCGGTTCAACAGGAACACAAACTCCTGTTCGGTTCAACAGGAACACAAACTCCTGTTCGGTTCAACAGGAACACAAACTCTCTGAAAATTATTTCGGGCAAACCGAATGTAGTGACGTTTTCAACTCTTGCTTTTCCCAAACTCCCTGCTCCCCTCCACCCTTTACCCCCCACCACACCCAGCTCCCCTGCTCTCATGACCCTGCCTTCTCATGCGAGCTACCCTGTGGTAACCCTCTTGCATGCGGTAACCACGCGTGCCAGCTGGCGTGCCACGTCATCACCCGCCCGCGAACCGCAGACGGGCAGAGAGTGCTGGTGGCAGGCGAGGGAGATGAGGGAGGAGAGGAGGAGGAGGAGGGAGGAGTGAGGGAGGTGGAAGAGGGGGGAGAGGAGGGGAGGAATTTGCTTCGTGACACTTGCTACCCATGCAAGCGAGCATGCCAGAAGGTTAGTTCATTTCGCTGCAACCTTTGTGAGCGAGGGGAGGAATTGAGGAGCTTGCCTCATGACACTTGCTACCCTTGCAAGCGACCGTGCCAAAAAGTTGGTCCCTCGCACTCTCCTTCCTTCCAGTTTCCAAACCAATGTACGTAGATATTCAGCGCCATAGAGAAGCATATATTTAGCCTGTATCGAAGCAGGAAGAGGGGGGTATTGTGGAAGTCAACCCAGAGCCGCAGCTAGGGGAGATCTTGGGGCTGTTGTTTAAGACAATCTACACACTGCTTGCTGCAGCTCAATCAACGTGTGGCAGCTGCAGCAAGCAGTGTGTGGATTGTCTTAAACAACAGCCCCAGGATCTCCCCTAGCTTCGGCTCTGGGTTGACTTCCACCAAATCCTCCTCTTCCTGCTCCAGTACAGGCTGAATATGCTTTTCTAAGTCGACTCTCAAGGTCGGTCCTTCACTTTCTTCAGTTGCAAGAATTCAGTCCAGAAGGTGACGTATGTACTCAAGACTCCAAAATGTCAACTGTACGGACGTGAGTGTCGCGATGTCAATTGATGTAGGATGTCTCGTTCGAGGGAACACACAATGTGTCAACATTTCAAGGTTCTTGTGAGATTCACACACAAGCAGTCCTGTTATATCCTGTCTTCTTTCATCTGCTATCCCATGTTTTTCTTTCGCTGGGCAGCCCAGGGACCCTCCATGCGTGCATCCCTGCCCGGAGTCGTGTCATCCGGGCAGCTGCCCGCCGTGCAAAAACCCTTTAAGGAAACGGTGCTACTGCGGCATCATGACCCATGCCATCGAGTGCGGCCAATGGGGTGCCGCCACGGAGGCAGAGAGAATCAAGATGGTGTCTTGCACCGGGCCCTGCCACAAGTGAGTATAAGGGGGGCTTTGCCAGCTCTATAGTTGAGTTGAGGGTTTAGGTTCGGGAGAGTCACGATGGTGTCCTGCACAGGCCCTGCCGTGTGTAATGAGTCTCTTTTTGAGTCGACTCCAAGAGCACCGGGCCCTGCCACAAGAGAGTGAATCTTCTTGAGAACCTGTAAGGTGGATGGATCTTGAGTCGTCAGGTCACTCAAAATACACCTAAACAGGGTGGTGTGTAAGCTAGCGAGCATTCAATCCAACGTCTGATTGATACTTTGCGCAGCTGTTTGGAAGGGTGCATATGAGTAGTAGCATATATTAGAACAAATGTACGGGACATCTCTCCTCTTGTGAGTCGTCTCTATGCTAATGTGTGACAATTCCTCCTTCCTGCAATCTTGCTGCTTAACTCTTTTCCTCTTTTTTTTCTTGCACCTTCCAGGAAGCTGCCCTTTTGTTCGCACATGTGTGTGGAAATGTGTCATCCGGGCCCCTGCCCCAAGCCCACGCAGTGCCGCAAGAAGGTGGGTTGTGTGTGTTTTCATGTGTGCAAGTGCGTGTGCATGGCTGCATTGCATGTGTGCTTGCGTGAGTGTTTCTGTTCTCACATGTGCGTGGAAATGTGTCATCCTAGCCTCTTTGCTTTCCATCACCTTGTTTCCATTGCCTGCTTCCCACGCGCCTCCAAAATTCGACAGGTAACAGTGCGCTGCGCATTCCTTACTATTCCTTCCACCCCTCCACTTACCAGGTAACAGTGCGCACCCCTCCACTTACCAGGTAACAGTGTGCTGCGCATGCCTGAGTCTCAAGAAAGAGTGGCTCTTCTCCCAAGTGCAACCCATCATGTATTGCTGTACATCCACTCCCACATTCCTTACTATTCACCCCACCAGGTAACGGTGCGCTGTGCATGCCTGCGGCTCAAACGAGAGTGGCTCTGCTCCCAAGTGCAATCCGAAACTGCCAAAGCTGCTGCCAATGGTGCAAGCAACCCCACCAGCAGCGCAGACAGCAGCACCAATGCCAGCAGCAGTGGGGGAGGTATTGGTGGTGGTGGGGGTGGGAGAGCGCGAGAGGCAATGGTGGGGGTAGGGCTGATACCATGTGACGACGAGTGCCGGCGCATTCAGGAGGAGGACAGGAAGAGGCGGGAGGCGGAGGAGAAAAGAGAGGCTGAGAGGAAGGCAGCCGCAGCAGCAGAGGCAGAGAGGCTTCGACTCGAAGCAGAAGCAGCTGTGAGTGTTGATATTCTTGTCTTGTGTGTTTGACTTTTGCATTGATAGTATAAAGGTGGCACCGCTAGTAGCAGCCGCAGTAGCAGAGGTCTGGGAGGATTCGACCTGAAGCAGATGCTGCTGTAAGTGGCTGGAGCAGCAAGTGAGTGCTTTCGTGTGTCAAGGCCTCACAACCTAATTTTCTGCAGAAGCTGCCTTAGTCTTGAAACCGAATCTGTAGCAGAAGCTGCTGTGACTTTTGCCAGTTTTTTTGCGCTCCATGCCACTTGTAGACTGTTTCTACCTTCTTTTCCTTGCAATTTTTGGCAATGTCATCCTTTTTTCACCCCTTTCACTGACATATGGAATGGTATGGCATGTCATGGGACAACATGGCATGAGCAGAGGGGAGCAAGAAGGAGAAGAAGGAAGACAGCAGCCGAGGAAGATGATTCCTCTTCCTCTCTGCTTGTAAGCACGCCCTTTATCTAATTACTTTAGACTTTTATACAGAATCGCATGGCACAGATCAGGCTGCGTGTATGAAGAAGTGTTTTGAGACGTCTCAAAACACTTCTTCATACATGTGAATCACATGGCACAGATGAGGCTGTTTCATCCTTACAAGGTGCGGCGCTGCGCCATCATCGCCTCCCCTCCTGCTGCTGCTTGCTGCTGGGGTGGGCCTCAAGGCACCACTTTCACTCACCCCCTTTCGCTTCTCTCACTCACCCCCTTTCGCTTCTCTCACTCGCTCCCTCTTCTCTCACGCATCCCATCCCAACCAACCCTCCGCCCACCCCCTTCGATCGCCCATCACCAGGGGTTCATTCCTCCTGCTGTGCGGCGCTGGGCCCTCACCCCCCTATCCCAACCCTTCTCCCCCCCTTCCCCATCCCCTTCGATCGCCCATCACCAGGGGTTCATTCCTCCTGCTGTGCGGCGCTGGGCCCTCACCCCCCTATCCCAACCCTTCTCCCCCCCTTCCCCACCCCCTTCGATCGCCCATCACCAGGGGTTCATTCCTCCTGCTGTGCGGCGCTGGGCCGTCATCATCACTCTCCTTTGCCTACTCCTGCTGCTGCTGATTGCGGCTGGGGTGGGTCTCAAGGCGCTCTCTGATTGGATGAATGAGCGCGACCGCCTCCGCCCTAGAAAGTCGTTCCGTTACTAGAAGCCGCTCTGCTCTGTTACTACATAGAATCCATCTTTTACCATGGTGCGTTATGGTTACTCTAAAATGGTGATGATGACTGGCTGGAGTCGCCTCAAGGCACTCCCTGAGTGGATGAACGAGACGGACTACTTCTGCAAAGGTCATTATGTTTCAGGTTTATGAAACTCAGTATGTTACTGATAACGATCTACACTCGCACATGCCACATTCCAACAGCGCGAAAGCATGTGTGTTTCGCAACTATGCACACTGCTACATAGTGCACTGCTGCCTTCACAGTGCAGTCAATAATTTCAATAAAGCCAAATAGAAACATTTTTCCCAGCAGCAGTGTTACACTGACCAACGGTGCAGCTGCAGCTGCCGCCTTGGCATTCACGACCCGTGTGACTGTATCCCCTGCCTGGCCTGTAAACCCCAAGTGTGTTTCGGAGAACACCAAGGAAATTTTTCTTCAAGTTCTGTGCTAACACCCTCACGGTGTAGCTGCTGCTGCTTGAGCATTCAACGCTGTGCCCCCTGCCCGCCCTTCAAAGCCCAGAAGGTGTTTCTAGAAACGCCAAGGAAAAATGACTTCAAGTGGTCTTATGGTGTGGGTGCTGCTGCTTGAGCATTCAACGCTGTGCCCCCTGCCCGCCCTTCAAAGCCCGGCCGCATCAGCTTCTTCTCCCTCTGCATTGAAAAGCAAATACAAAAACAAGTGCATTTCAAACACCATAGAAAACATAAGCATATGTAGCGAATGCATGCAACAACAGGAACATGCCATGCTGTAGAAAACCTTGCCACACAATGCCGGGCTGTGCTGCATCCTGCTGTGCTTGCTGCTACCGCACCAACCAATAAGTCCATCCACTACCTACCCGTTCATCCACTATACTTCCCTCCCTCCATTCCACCTACCCGTGCGATCTTAGCAGCAACCTTGTTGTCCTCCCTCTCCTGAATGTTCCCCTTGCACGTTCCCATTCCATCCTGAATGTATGCTACCTCACTCTAGCCAGCTATACTCCCCTCAACTTCAAACCACCCACCCGAGCGATCTTAGCAGCGATCTTGTTGTCCTTCCGCTCCTGAATGTTCCCCTGCACCCTTCTCATCCCATGCTGCATGCTGCGTTACGGATATCACTCTACCCCACTATACTCCCCTCAACTTCACACCACCTACCCGAGCGATCTTAGCGGCAATTTTGTTGTCCTTCCGCTCCTGAATGTTCCCCTTTCGCTTGTCCTGTCTGTCCTTCATTGCTTTACGCACTGCCATCTGCCTCTCCTTCCTGTTCACAGAGAAATGCATACACGCAGGGGAAAGACAGCATCTCCAGGTTGCAGTGAGTGCAGTGCAGCACAAGCCATGCAACGAGGTGCCATCCATGTCCCTCCCCCGCTTGTCCTGCCATCTGCCTCTCCTTCCTGTCAAGGGGGGAAACGTATCCATACAGGGAGAAGACGGCATATTCAGGTTGCAGTGAGTGCAGTGCAGCACAAGCCATGCAATGCGGTGCCTTCCATTTGGCTCCCTCGGACCTGTCTGTCCTTCATTGCTTTACGCACTGCCATCTGCCTCTCCTTCCTATTACGGGGAAAACACAACACACACGTGGCCGTGGGGAGGAGAATATAAATGTGCGATGGGGAGGGGAGCACCGCGCAAATTGCAGTGAGTGATATGTTCTGTGCTTCTGTTACTTTGGGGAGTCCTCAAATGTAGCAGAGGTAAGTTCTATATTCCCCAGTCCAGCCCATCTCATCCCAATCACAAACCAAATATGATCATACCAGATAGCATCGCATACACCCCAAACCACCATTCACCTCACCACCCCTCACACCACCGCACTTCACCACAATGACAATCCACCCCAACCCACACCACCCTAGACCACCACACACCACCACCGCTCACCATAGCTTGGCGCTCTTCTCCTTCTGCCGCTGCTCCCTCTTCTGCTGCTTGCTGAGCATGTTGGGATCGTCAAACACCCAACCCACCCCACCGCACCTTACCGCACACCACCGCTCACCATAGCTTGGCGCTCTTCTCCTTCTGCCGCTGCTCCCTCTTCTGCTGCTTGCTGAGCATGTTTGGATCGTCAAACACCCACCCCACCCCACCGCACCTTACCGCACACCACCGCTCACCATAGCTTGGCGCTCTTCTCCTTCTGCCGCTGCTCCCTCTTCTGCTGCTTGCTGAGCATGTTGGGATCGTCAAACACCTTTCCGCCTGCCGCCCTGCTGCTCGCCGCGTTCCACAGGTGGGTCTCCTGGAAAAGGAGAGAAAGGAGAGAGAGGCGATACAGGCATGGGTCAGACAGATGGAAGCATGGGGTTCAGGTGGGCATAGAAGAGGTGGGGGGTCAGAACTAGAACAGATATGTTTGGATCGTCAACACCTTGCTGCCTGCCGCCCTGCTGCTAGCCATATTCCACAGGTGAGTCGACTCAAAAGTCACATGGGCAGGGAGAGCGAGGGGAGGGTGTCAGATACAGGCATGGTGGGGTGGGATCGACACCCACAGCCACCTTGCTGCCTGCCGCCCTGCTGCTCGCCGCATTCCACAGGTGGGTCTCCTAGGTTAGCAGAGAGACGGGGTTCAGATGGGTGGGATGGGATGGACGGGAGGCAAGAAGCATGTTTGGATCGTCAAAGACCTTTCCTCACGCCGCCCTGCTGCTAGCCGCATTCCACAGGTGGTTTTTGAGACGTCTCAAAAACTCCCTCACCTCACAGGTGGGTCTCCTGGGGAACGGGGGTGGCAAGAGAGAACGGAAGGCAAAGGAGCACACGCGAGGGAAGGAGGGCCAGTTAAAAAGCACGATAAGCATGAACGGGTGGAAGGAAAAGAGAATGTACACAAGCATCAACCTTTGCTCGTTGCAGGGTATTTTTGAGAATTCTCAAAAATAAAAATAGTTGACGCTTGTGTTGATGCAACGATAAGAATGTCTACAAGCATCAATCTTTGCTCGAGTGGCTCTTTTGGGGGAAGAGGAGGAAAGGGAAGGCGAAGGAGGAGGAGAGTGAGGTAACAAGGAGGGTCTTCCACAAGGCGGATCTTCCACCATGGGTATGACTTTTGAGATCCTTCCATGGGATCTCAGAAGTCGCACCAATATAGGAGGGTCTTCCACCACGGGTATGACTTTGGAGATCCTTCCATGGGATCTCAGAAGTCGCACCAATATAGGAGGGTCGTCCACCACGCGGGTCGTCCACCATGGGTATGGAAGGGAAAGGGAGTTCTTCCAAAGCTTTATTTGTCGGATTTTGCCCGTTGACCTTCTTCCCGGTCTAAGCAGCTTGTTCTCCCATTCTTGCTATCTCTCACACCAACTCACCACTTCAGCCAAGGCCTTGTCTCCCAGTTTCCGCCCCTTGAGCTTGCATTCACGCTCATGCCCTCCCACTCACCTGCTCTCAAAACCACATGCTACCACAAACACCGACTCACCACTTCAGCCAGTGCTTTGTCTCCCAATTGCCGCCCCTTCAGCTTCTCCTGAAGCTTAGCCGCTTGCTCCCCTGCTCTTTGCCCTCCCACTCACCAGCTCTCAACCCTACATGCTCCTACACTCACCACTTCAGCCAAGGCCTTGTCTCCCAGTTTCCGCCCCTTGAGCTTCTCCCGAATCTTAGCCGCTTGCTCCATGCACACCCCACGCGCCCTCCCACAGTCCCCCCCGATTCCCGCTCACCTCACAGTCACCAACTCACCACTTCAGCCAGCGCCTTATCTCCCAGCTTCCGCCCCTTGAGCTTCTCCTGAATCTTAGCCGCTTGCTCCAGAAGCTTCTTGGCAGATACCTTCCCGCCGTCCTTCTTCCCCTTCTTCCCGCCTCCCATCCCCGGCCCGGCTGCTGCTGCCTTATCCCCCAGCTTCACCCGCCCAAACTCCAGATCCAAAGGAATCACCTCATCATCTGCTAACCCATGCCCCTCCCCTCCTCCCCCCCCTGCTCTTCCTCCTCCTCCTCCTGCTGCTGCTGCTGCTGCTGCTCCCACTAGCCCTCCTCTTCCTCCCTTCCCTCCACCCTTCTCCTTCCCAATCCGCTCCTTCTTCCCCTCCTTCCCCCCATCCCCTTCCCTCTCCTGCTGCTTCCGTTTACCACCCACCACCGCACCCTCCCTCTCACCCCCACCCCCGACGCCTCCTTTCCCCTTCTTCCGCTCCTTCCCCCCCTTCTTCCCCTTCTTGTCCCCCTCAGCGCCCGTCTCCCTCTGTTTCTTCCGCCACTCGCTAGCAGCAGAGGCTCTCTCCGCGTTCCTCCGCTTCCTCAGCTCCTCCAGTCGCTGCTGCAGCCGCGCTCTCAGCTCCTGATAGTCCGCTGCTCGCCCCTTCCTGCCCACACCTGAAAGGAACAAAGGGGCAAGGGCACAGGGAGACAGGGAAAATGATGGTCCAGAAGTTTCTAGACCGCCCTCCCTCTGGTTCTCTCTCTCCGCGTTCCTCCGCTTCCTCAGCTGCTCCAGTCGCTGCTGCAGCCGTGCTCTCAGCTCCTGATAGTCTGCTGCTCGCCCCTTCCTGCCCACTCCTGCCAGAGGCAAGGGGCACAGGCAGAGGGAAAGGAAGTATGATAAACACACCTCGCATCACCACCACCACCCACCACTTCACACCCCTTCCCCTCCAACCCACCAGCATCATCACTAACACCGCCACCTTGCATCACCACCAGCAACCACCTCGTACCCCTCATCACCGCTCTCACCTGCTTCCTTCAACAGTTGATCCATCGGATCGTCCATCTCCCCCTTCCCTCCTTTCTTCCCTTCCCCCCCTCCCCCTCCTCCTGACCCGAAACCACCTCCCCCAAATCCGCCCGCCCCTCCGCGCCCTCCCCCATGCTCTTGCTGCTGCTGCCGCGCCTGCAGCGCCTGGGAGGTGCGCTGCGCTGCTGCTGGGTCCAACTGGGGGGGGGGAGAGGTTGGGGGGCGAGGAAAAGAGGGGAATGGGGAAAAAGAGGCAGAGTGGGGGGATGTGAGTCTTGTATGCAAGTACAGACAGGGTCAGCTTTCCCCTGTTCCTGCTCCTGCTCCTGCTGCTGCTGCCGCGCCTGGGAGGTGCGCTGCGCTGCGGCAGGGTTCAACTAGGAAAGGGAGAGGGGGGGTGGGGGGGTGGGGGGGGGTAAGGGGAGGGAGGGAGGGAGGGAATGTGAATCTGGCTTCGAAAGCAAGCCAGAGAGGGTCAGCCTCCCCCCCTGCTCCCGCCGCTCCCCCACCTAAGAATCTTCCATGCAAGCACGCCAGAGCGGGTGAACATTCACCCCTGCTGCTGCAGCGCCTGGGAGGTGCGCGGCGCTGCTGCTGGGTCGAACTGAGGAGAAGAAAGGGGAAGTGGGGTGAGGGAGGAGAGGGGTGGGGAGGCGGAGGTGAGGGGTGGGGAGGCGAAGGTGAGGGGCAGAGGGAGGGGAGTTGGCGAGGGAAGGAAGCGGGAGGAGGTCGAGGCACGGGGGAGAGGAACAGGGGGGTGATAGTGCTACGAGAGGTGAGCGTGAGCTGACAGGCAAGGGGAGGGGCGGAAGGGAAAGGGGAGAAGCATGCAACTTGAGCACGATTTACTTCAACAAATGACTGGCATCTGACTTGAGCAAGGGACGATTCGCCTTAGCCCATGGACAAACTCAAAACAGGAGCGAAAAGTCAGTCAAACCCCCAAAATTCCGCCCCAGAATCTTGGCGCTGCTCCGACAGCTGTTTTAGGATTTAGGCTCCAAATTTAGAGTTGAGGGTTCAAGCTTCGAGGTTTAGGGCGAGATTCAGGGTTTAAGGTCACGTCTCATTGCCTTGCGTTGCCGCACCTCGGAACCTAGGCTCGGGAGGGAGGACTGGAGGAGACACACCGGGTGGAAGTAGGGGAAGAACCAGAGGGGATGCTTGCTTAAGCTCCCTCTGCTTAAGCTCCCTCTGCTTAAGCTTCCTTTACCTCACCTTGACTCTCTTCGCCTCACATCAACTCCCTTTGTGGCTTTGCCTCATCTTGAAACGCTTCGTCTCACTTTGAGCCTTTTGGCTTTCTTCGACTGCTCCTTAGCTGCCCGCTTCGCGTCCCCTGTAGTCTTGCACGCTTATTTGGCTCTCTTCCACTTCACCTCAACCCCCCTCGTCTCACCTTGAGCCTTTTGGCTTTCTTCGACTGCTCCTTAGCTGCCCGCTTCGCCTCTGCCTTGCCTCCCTCCACTTTCTCATACTTCTGTACTCGGTAAAGGGTGGACGCGGTAAAGAACGGACGGGAACGACCGGGAGATTGTGATTCGAATAAACGCGCGATTGGCATGCGCGCACGCAAAGCTTGCTGGGGTATCTCCGGACAGACATAGTACGCGGTATAAGTGCTTCTGTGACAGTAACAAACGGGTAAGGACGACGGGGTGTGTCTGTAACGCGTGAGAATGACGCGTATCAGCGCAACAGAATCGGCTCAGGCGAGCTTGCTTTGCTCGCGTGCCCTAACCCCTCCAGTGGGTGAGCTTGCGAGCAAGCATAACGCGTACCAGAGCGACAGAGTCAGCTTGCGACGGGAGGTAATGCCGCAACGGTATTAAGTCCACGAGATGGTCGAAGACTGAAACAAGGGTTTCAGGGAGAGAGGGACGGAGGTTTCGGATACAAGGGACGGAGGTTTCGGGTTGAAGGGGCAGAGGAAAGGAATAACCAATAAGGTCCACGAGAGGTAGTGGCGCAGCGGTATTAGGTCCACGAGACTATCGAAGACTGCAAGAAGGTTTTCAGGGTGAAAGGAACGGGGGAAATGGACGGGGGAACGGATAAAATGGGCACGAGACGTGAGTACTTTAGGAGAGTAAGAAAATGGTAGTGATTTTAGAGTGTTTTGAGACGTCTCAAAACACTCCTTTTTTCCCACGAGACGTGAGTACTTTAGGAGAGTAAGAAAATGGTAGTGATTTTAGAGTGTTTTGAGACGTCTCAAAACACTCCTTTTTTCACACGAGACGTGAGTACTTTAGGAGAGTAAGAAAATGGTAGTGATTTTAGAGCTAATGTTGTTCGTTCAAATCGGCGCGCACTGACATTGGCTGTCTTCCGCGACACGCCGTTTTGTTGTCCCGCCCGGCTCGATCCGAGCGATGGCACCCATGCTCCGCTCTATAACGAGTCACCAAAGCAGTCGCCCAAAGCACCTCTATAACGAATCACCAATCTAGTCAAAATTAGTCTCTCAGAAGTCTCGTCCTTGCGTTACGGACCCGAAAAAAGCAAGCATCCGTCCACTAGCGACAAACCCTGTAAAAACCCTGATTCCTCCGAGCAGGAAATAGGTCCTTAAAAGATGGCAACGGGAGCATCAAGAAAAATGTAGTGGATACAACTAGCGACACGCTACAGGCTGGGTAAGAACTTCAAGCTAACCAGGAGCCTGATAGAGTGCTAATGGTGGGGCTAGCAGGAACAACTAGCCTGCTGGACGTTCTAGTCTGCAAAGAGTGTTTTGGGTCTGCAGCAGGGCCCATTTTTTCAGGGTGAAACACCCGGACTACTACTCAAATCTGGGTGGAGTTTTCGGTCCACCCTGCAAAATACGAGCTTCCGCGATTGTGACTCGGCCCACTTCAGGTTCTAATGTTTTTTAGGCTGCTGTGGCCGGACGAGTGAATTCTCCACTCGGCCCTTGGCCCAGCGCTCGTCACTTTTGTCGCGTTAACAGATATGGTCCCCTTCTGTGTCTCTCTTGTACTTAGCCAAACATGCAAACTTCTGACTCAATAATGACAAAGTACTTGTCTGCGAGTCACGATGATGGATTAGCATGAATTTGCGTAAGTCCTTGACTGTGAGTATGAAAAGTGGATCAGCTTGAAATTTGGGTAAGTCCTTGACTGAGACAGAGGTTTGGACTAGCAAGACTGGATCAGCCCTAATTGCGGGCCGCGCGAGGCAGGTTTAGTAAGGTTGATCGAGTGCTGCTTTGCAGCTTTAGCTGGGCGAATTGTGGTTACGAAATGTACGAAGCCATCTGATTGGCCAGAACATTTGAGTCAGCGAATGGAACAGGTGGTGCGGGAAACTGGCAAGAGTAATATTTGTGCAATATGGGACTCGCGCAACCAAACCTGAGCGTCCCCTAGGCTTTGCTGAGTCAGCGAATTTTGTTTTGAGTGTGGCGAGAAGCTGGGCGAAACCAAACCCCTACACCCCTCAAACACCTCGACTTTCCTACTCTGCTTTCCCACCACCCAAGGGTCAACTTTAGTAATCCTGAACAATTTGGGCCTTGAGCTTTAAGTCCACGACATGTGACTGCACATACAGGAGCCTACGGAAAAATTTTCCCAAAACCCACACGGCCCAAAACATGTGTACAAAGAAATCTACCCGGCCTCCACCCGGATTTTTTAGCGCGCCACCCGGCCCAGCCGAGGGGCGCGCGGATTTCACTCTTTTTTGGAAGAGTGCCTTCAAACGAAAAATGAGCCCTGGTCTGCAGTCGCTTGGCTGCAGCCCGTTTGACCCCGATATTGTACATTGCAGCGGGTGCAAGCAGTGAAATATATTTCTAATCACTCTGCTAAATTTGGGGAAAATGTACGGACATCTGAAATGCAGTGAATTTGGTCAAATACGTGCGCTTAGCAAGAGGAGTCTCTTGATTTAATTGGAGGAAAGCATTCATGCTGTTTCTGAACTTCGCATGATGTAACACTTTGTTTAGCAATGATTCATTTTTAACATATCTGTTCCATAACATGTATAAATGTGCCAAACGCGTACGTGGTGCGATGGTGGTGGCTGACGCCAATTTCTGTTGCATTTTGATTGCGCTCTTAGTACACAATTCTAGGCGATTTTCCCGCGATTACGAAGTACTAGTTATTTTCAGCACAGTGACATTCTCCACCGCCAGGCTGACGGCGACTTTTTAGCCGCTTCTTTTTTGCTGACGTTGATACCTCAGAAGCTGACGGGGCGAGGAATCGCCAGCAAATGGCTGACGCAGAGGCCTCTGACGCTGACGTGGCCAGGAATTGGCAGCTGATAGAAGCGTCGCGCGAGGGCGATTTAGCCGCAGTCCTGAGAGGTTTCTCAGTAAACTGGCACGACCGCGAATTCCATATCCGTGTTCGCTGGGCTTCTCTGTTCGCCTTAGAAGAAACGAATTCCCGAACCTAAAACCCTAAACCTTATCGTGGCCAACTCCTGTGTATATCACTTGCCCCTCTTATACTCTACTCGGCACTCGCAATAAAATCTCTCACGTTTCCTTAACGACTCCCCTTCTCTTTCCCACCTTTCTCACGCACCCCTCCCCAAACCCCCCTCCCCCTCCCCCCAATCCCCCCGCCACCCCCCACCCTTCCCCTCCCCTCAATCCCCCCGCCACCCTCCACCCTTCCCCTCCCCCGGGTTCCATTCCCCTTCGTTGCTCCCCTTTGCGCCTTCCAACCTCCCAGAGAAGGCGCTGACGTGGCGTACGCTGACGTGGACGCGCAGGGGAAGACGGCGCTGATGGCGGCGGCGGAAGGGGGGAGGGCGGATGTGGTGCGGGCGCTACTGGGGGAAGGGGCGGTGTGGAATGCGGTGGATATGGGGGGGAAGAGCGCAGGGGACTATGCAATGGAAGGGGTGGTGGCGTGGGGGGAGGTGGCGGAGGAGGAGGAGGAGAAAAACGAAGAGGAAAGAACGAGACGACAAGAAGTGCTAGATACACTGATTGATGCTGGTAAGTCCTTAGTGGCTTATTGAAGGCTGGGGAGGGGAGAGGGCGGAGGTGGTGCGGGCGCTGCTGGGGGGGGGGGCGGTGTGGAATGCGGTGGATATGGGGGGGAAGAGCGCAGGGGACTATGCAATGGAAGGGGTGGTGGCGTGGGGGGAGGGGGCGGAAGAGGAGGAGGAGAAAAACGAAGCGAAAGCGAGATGACAAGAGGTTTTGGATACACTGATTGATGCTGATAAGGCTGTGTTGTGTATCAGAGGGGTCAGGGGATGGCGGGGGGAGGTGAGCATCGGGAGGAGGAAGAGGAAGAGGTGACTTGGGTGGGGGGGGGAGGGCGGAAGTGGTGGGGGTTCTGCTGCTGGGAGATAACTTTTGAGTCGAATCGTTCTGCACTCAAAAGTCACCTCGTTCTGCTGCTGGGAGATCTTTCAGATCTGGAAGCAGTGTGCGTGCTGCTGGGGTGCTGGGGGGCATTTGGCATAGTGTGAACATGGGGGGGGGTGGGGAAAGGGGATTGGGGAAGGGGCAAGGGTGGGAGATAGGCGTCAAATCAGAGCTCATTCTCGAAGAGCCAGTAGGAACCTGACACGTGGCAGCACAGCAGCAAGTGCAACAGGAGCAGGAGTAGCAGAGCTGTTGACACCTGGCCCAAATGCAGCCTACCTGTTGAAGCGGCTGCAGCTATCCCCCATGTCCCCTTCCCCCATGTTCCTTTCCTTTCCGTTCCTTTCCTTCCCTTTCCTTTCCTTTCCTCTCCTTGCCTTCCCTTCTTCTTCCCTTCCTTTCCCTTCCTTTCCTTTCCGTTCCTTTCCTTTCCTTTCCTTTCCTTTCTTTTCCTTTCCTTTCCTGCCTATCCTCCCTTTACCCCATCTCTCACGCATTTTTCCCTTGTACAGGCATCAAATCAGAGCTCATTCTGGGGGCAGCCAGTAGGAACCTGACACGTGGCAGCACAGCAGCAGGAGCAGCGGAGCAGTCAGCACCTGCCTCAAATGCCGCCTACCTGTCGGAGCGACTGCAGCTGTCTGAAAGCCGATTGGTGGACGGGGAGGGGGGTGGGGTGATGATGAAGTGGGAGGGGGCTCTCATGCAAGCCCACGCGCAAGCCATCTGCCAACAGGTGGGCACGGGGCTGTGCTGTGAGGTGCTGTGCGGTGCCAGGTGTTTTAGATCGTATGTTCTACAGGCTGGGGTAAAGACAGGTCGACTGGTGGATGGGGAGGGGGGTGGATGGGGAGGGGGGTGGATGGGGAGGGGGGTGGTGTGATGATGAAGTGGGAGGGGGCGCTCATGCAATGCAAGCACACGCGCAAGCCATCTGCCAACAGATGGGTACTGTGCCGTGCTGTGTTGTGTGTGTGTGTGTGTGTGTGTGTGTGTGTGTGTGTGTGTGTGTGTGTGTGTGTGTGTGTGCGTGTGTGCGTGTATCATGTTCAAACCATGCTTCAAATGGGCTGAATGATGATGTGGTGGGTGGAGGTGCTCCCATGCAGGCGCACGCGCAAGCCATCTGCCAACAGGTGGGTACGGTGCTGTGTTGTGCTGTGCGTGTTAACTTGTGCGGTGTTAACTTGTGCTGCGTTAACTTGTGCTGTTTACTCTAGTTGACTCGCGAATTTGGTCGGTGTGTGTGCTACAGGCTGGAGAAGGGTTGAATGGTCGAGGGGAGGGAGAGGGCGTGATGATGTGGTGGGAGGGGGCACTCATGCGAGTGCACGCCCAAGCCATCTGTCAGCAGGGGGGCATTGTGTTGTGCTGTGTTTCATTGTGCTGTGTTGTGCTGTGTTGCATTGTGCTGTGTTGCATTGTGCTGTGTTGCATTGTGCTGTGTTGTGTTGTGTTGTGATGTGTTGCATTGTGCTGTGTTGTGTTGTGTTGTGCTGTGTTGTGTTGTGTTGTGTTGTGTTGTGTTGTGTTGTGTTGTGCTGTGTTGCATTGTGCTGTGTTGTGTTGTGTTGTGCTGTGTTGTGTTGTGTTGTGTTGTGTTGTGTTGTGCTGTGTTGTGCTGTGTTGTGTTGTGTTGTGTTGTGTTGTGCTGTGCTGTGCTGTGCTGTGCTGTGCTGTGCTGTGCTGTGCTGTGCTGTGCTGTGCTGTGCTGTGCTGTGCTGTGCTGTGCTGTGCTGTGCTGTGCTGTGCAGTGTTGTATTGTGTTGTGTTGTGTTGTGTTGTGTTGTGTTGTGTTGTGTTGTGTTGTGTTGTGTTGTGTTGTGCTGTGTTGCATTGTGCTGTGTTGCATTGTGCTGTGTTGTGTTGTGTTGTGATGTGTTGCATTGTGCTGTGTTGTGTTGTGTTGTGCTGTGTTGTGTTGTGTTGTGTTGTGTTGTGTTGTGTTGTGTTGTGTTGTGTTGTGCTGTGTTGCATTGTGCTGTGTTGTGTTGTGTTGTGCTGTGTTGTGTTGTGTTGTGCTGTGTTGCATTGTGCTGTGTTGTGTTGTGTTGTGCTGTGTTGTGTTGTGTTGTGTTGTGTTGTGCTGTGTTGTGTTGTGTTGCATTGTGCTGTGTTGTGCTGTGTTGTGTTGTGTTGTGTTGTGCTGTGCTGTGCTGTGCTGTGCTGTGCTGTGCTGTGCTGTGCTGTGCTGTGCTGTGCTGTGCTGTGCTGTGCTGTGCTGTGCTGTGCTGTGCTGTGCTGTGCTGTGCTGTGCAGTGTTGTATTGTGTTGTGTTGTGTTGTGTTGTGTTGTGTTGTGTTGTGTTGTGTTGTGTTGTGTTGTGTTGTGTTGTGTTGTGTTGTGTTGTGTTGTGCTGTGTTGCATTGTGTTGTGTTGTGTTGTGTTGTGTTGTGCTGTGTTGTGTTGTGTTGTGTTGTGTTGCATTGTGCTGTGTTGCATTGTGCTGTGTTGTGTTGTGTTGTGCTGTGTTGTGTTGTGTTGTGTTGTGTTGTGTTGTGTTGTGTTGTGTTGTGTTGCATTGTGCTGTGTTGTGCTGTGTTGTGTTGTGTTGTGTTGTGTTGTGCTGTTTGGCTGTGCTGTGCTGTGCTGTGCTGTGCTGTGCTGTGCTGTGCTGTGCTGTGCTGTGCTGTGCTGTGCTGTGCTGTGCTGTGCTGTGCAGTGTTGTATTGTGTTGTGTTGTGTTGTGTTGTGTTGTGTTGTGTTGTGTTGTGCTGTGTTGCATTGTGCTGTGTTGTGTTGTGCTGTGTTGTGCTGTGCTGTGTTGTGTTGTGTTGTGCTGTGTTGTGTTGTGTTGTGTTGTGTTGTGTTGTGTTGTGTTGTGTTGTGTTGTGCTGTGTTGCATTGTGCTGTGTTGCATTGTGCTGTGTTGTGTTGTGTTGTGATGTGTTGCATTGTGCTGTGTTGTGTTGTGTTGTGCTGTGTTGTGTTGTGTTGTGTTGTGTTGTGTTGTGTTGTGTTGTGTTGTGTTGTGCTGTGTTGCATTGTGCTGTGTTGTGTTGTGTTGTGCTGTGTTGTGTTGTGTTGTGCTGTGTTGCATTGTGCTGTGTTGTGTTGTGTTGTGCTGTGTTGTGTTGTGTTGTGTTGTGTTGTGCTGTGTTGTGTTGTGTTGCATTGTGCTGTGTTGTGCTGTGTTGTGTTGTGTTGTGTTGTGCTGTGCTGTGCTGTGCTGTGCTGTGCTGTGCTGTGCTGTGCTGTGCTGTGCTGTGCTGTGCTGTGCTGTGCTGTGCTGTGCTGTGCTGTGCTGTGCTGTGCTGTGCTGTGTATTGTGTTGTGTTGTGTTGTGTTGTGTTGTGTTGTGTTGTGTTGTGTTGTGTTGTGTTGTGTTGTGTTGTGTTGTGTTGTGTTGTGTTGTGTTGTGCTGTGTTGCATTGTGTTGTGTTGTGTTGTGTTGTGTTGTGCTGTGTTGTGTTGTGTTGTGTTGTGTTGCATTGTGCTGTGTTGCATTGTGCTGTGTTGTGTTGTGTTGTGCTGTGTTGTGTTGTGTTGTGTTGTGTTGTGTTGTGTTGTGTTGTGTTGTGTTGTGTTGCATTGTGCTGTGTTGTGCTGTGTTGTGTTGTGTTGTGTTGTGTTGTGCTGTTTGGCTGTGCTGTGCTGTGCTGTGCTGTGCTGTGCTGTGCTGTGCTGTGCTGTGCTGTGCTGTGCTGTGCTGTGCTGTGCTGTGCAGTGTTGTATTGTGTTGTGTTGTGTTGTGTTGTGTTGTGTTGTGTTGTGTTGTGCTGTGTTGCATTGTGCTGTGTTGTGTTGTGCTGTGTTGTGCTGTGCTGTGTTGTGTTGTGTTGTGCTGTGTTGTGTTGTGTTGTGTTGTGTTGTGTTGTGTTGTGTTGTGTTGTGTTGTGTTGTGTTGTGTTGTGTTGTGTTGCATTGTGCTGTGTTGTGCTGTGTTGTGTTGTGTTGTGTTGTGTTGTGCTGTTTGGCTGTGCTGTGCTGTGCTGTGCTGTGCTGTGCTGTGCTGTGCTGTGCTGTGCTGTGCTGTGCTGTGCTGTGCTGTGCAGTGTTGTATTGTGTTGTGTTGTGTTGTATTGTGTTGTGTTGTGTTGTGTTGTGTTGTGTTGTGTTGTGTTGCATTGTGCTGTGTTGTGCTGTGTTGTGTTGTGTTGTGTTGTGTTGTGTTGTGCTGTTTGGCTGTGCTGTGCTGTGCTGTGCTGTGCTGTGCTGTGCTGTGCTGTGCTGTGCTGTGCTGTGCTGTGCTGTGCTGTGCTGTGCTGTGCTGTGCTGTGCTGTGCTGTATTGTGTTGTGTTGTGTTGTGTTGTGTTGTGTTGTGTTGTGTTGTGTTGTGCTGTGTTGCATTGTGCTGTGTTGTGTTGTGCTGTGTTGTGCTGTGCTGTGTTGTGTTGTGTTTTTTTGTGTCGTGTTGTGCTGTGCGTGTTGTGCTGTGTCTCCCTCCCTCTCCCACTCCAGAAAGGGGATATTCTCAACATTGGCTTTGGCATGGGTTTGATAGGCACAGCCATTGCAGCTCGCATCGGCGAATTCTCTCCCACCTTCCCACCATCAGCATGGCCCCTTGCTCTCTCTGTCCTCTCTTCCTCCCTGCTTTTCCTTCTCTCCAGGGAGGGGATATTCTCAACATTGGGTTTGGCATGGGACTAATCGACACAGCCACTGTGGCTGCCACTGCTGTTACAAACCGCCGTGCGGCTCTCTCAACCTCTTCCAACCGCTCCCAACCTCTCTGTTTACTTCTCCCTCCGTCTCTCTCACTCCAGGGAGGGGACATTCTCAATATTGACTTTGGCATGGGTATAATAGACACCGCCATTGCAGCTCGCATCGGCCAATCGGAGGGCGGCATTCGATCGCACACTATAGTGGAAGCGCATCCGGACGTTATAGCGAGGATGAAGGGGGAGGGGTGGCATGAGAAGGAGGGAGTGAGGGTGGTGGAGGGGAGATGGCAGGACGTGTTACCACAACTGGGCCAATACGATGGTGAGTATTCCGGGTACAACTGGTGATACCCCTGCTACAGTGGTGTGTTTGATGCTGTTGCTTCTGGGACAGTACGGTGGTCGGAGTGGGATGGCATGAGAGGGAGGAGTGAGGGAAGGGAGATGGCAGGACGTGTTACCACAACTAGAGCCATATGCTGGTGGCGTGTTACCAGTTGTACCAGCATATAGCCCTAGATGGTGCAACAGCTAGGGTACAACTGGTATTATCTCTGCTGCAGATTGTGCATTCGGTGGCGGCAGTGTAGCGTTGTTGCAGTATGGTGGTAACGCTACTGGTTCTGTTGCTGCTGCTGTGGCAAGTGGGCGGAGGGAGGGATGATGAGGGGGTTAGCATGAGCAGGAGGCAGATGGCGCGGGACGTGTTACCACAACTAGGGCAATACGACGGTGAGTACTAATCTGGGTATACCTACAGGGAGTATTACGACAATCTTCACGACTTCCATTCGCACCTCCCACGCCTCCTCAAACCAACTGTCCCCCTATTCCACCTATTCCTTTTCCCCTCCCTTCCCTCTCTCTCTGCTCCCTGTCCCTTTTCTCCTTGGAGGCATATGGAGAATTGCAGGCATATTCTATCTTTGAAAATATTTACATTTGGAGTGCCTTCTTCCACACCGTCTACTGCCACATGTGTTTCCTTGCTTTTCTCCCCTCCCTCTTCCCTTCCTTTCCTGTTCCTCCGTCTCTGCTCGCTCCATCTCCCATCTAAGCGGGCGTATTCTTTGAAACATTTGGGGAATATTTTGATGACCTGTGCGCGTTCCACTCCCACCCACCCCACCTTCCCTGCCCACTGTTCATCTGCTTCCTTACCCTCCTTTCTCTCTCCGTGCAGGCGTATTCTTTGAACCCACAGATCGCTGCCCACTGCTTGCTGTGTGCTTGTCCGCCAAACCTTCTTATCTCCTCCGCACGGTCCACCCCACCGATGACGTCCTAGAGGCATTCAATGACTGGGATGACCATCTTCTCGATACCCTCATTTCCCTCTTCCCTCTTGACACACATGGGACCTTGACACGGCAGAGGGACAGCTAGCCCGCTCACAGGCCTTCTTACCGATTCGCTTAGGAGGTCTTGGGATTCAGAGTGCACGCAGGCACGCGTCGCTTAGCTATGTCCGCAGCTGGGCTCAAGCCATACCAGTCCTAGCCAACTGCAGCATACCGTTTCCTTCACCCTTTCATTGCCAGCGACGTGCTTGACCCCTTAGACCCACAGATTTCACGTGCTTTGGCTGCCCTGCCTGACGTCCTGCATCATTTAGTCCCTCCCTGGTCCGCTTTCCTTGCTGGTTACCCGAACAGACTCTTTTCTGCCTTAGCTCAGCGCATCTCCGCACATGCAGCAAAGCAGTTGCGTGCAGTCGCTACCCAGCACCACCAGCTGGTCCGTTTAACCTCCCTTCAGGACCCATCTGCTGGGGCTTGGCTCACGGCTGTCCCCTCCGCTCCCCGCACGCAGCTCGAACCTGCAGATTGGTTGATTGCAGCAGAAATCCGTCTATGCCTCCCTGTCCCCCACCTCTGTCTCCTAGTATCAGCCCCGCCATGTTCTTGCAGGGAAGCGAAGCGCGTGTTTAGGAAGAGTGGGGTCAGTGTAGGTGTGGCTGCATGTACATGGCGGGGCTGATTCTAGGAGACGGAGGTCGGGGACAGGGAGGCCTAGGCGGATTTTTGCTACAATTTGCAGGTTCGAGCTGAGCGCTTAGAGCGGGGGGGACAGCCGTGAGCCAAGCGCCAATAGATGGGTCCTGAAGGGAGGTTAAATGGACCAGCTGGTGGTGCTGCTGGGTAGCGCCTGCACGCAACTGCTCTGCTGCATGTGCGGAGATGTGCTGAGCTAAAGCAAAAAAGAGTCTGTTCGGGTAACCAGCAAAGAAAGCGGACTAGGGAGGGACGGTGACGCAGGTCGTCAGGCAGAGCAGCCAAAGCACGTGAAATCTGTGGGTCTAAGGGGTCAAGCACGTCGCTGGAAAAGAAAGGGTGAAGGAAACGGTCTTCTGAACCCCACCATACCGCACTGCACTGCACCATCTTCCACACCGTCTAGTCTACTGCCACATAGTCGCCCTGGAGCTGCAGCAGCACGTGGGGTCTTCTGAACACTCAGTTCATCCCTCTGCCCCTCCCATCCCACCAAAGCAGGCATATTCTTTGACACATATGGAGAATACTATGACGATCTGCGAGAATTCCACTCCCACCTCCCGCACCTCCTCAAGCCCAGCGGGCTCTACTCTTTCTTCAACGGCATGTGTGGCGACAACGCCTTCTTCCACACCGTCTACTGCCACATAGTGGCCCTGGAGCTGCAGCAGCACGTGGGGCTGACCACTCAGTTCATCCCGCTGCCAGTCATCCGGTGCCTGGATGTAGACACGTGGGCGGGGGTGCGGCATAGGTACTGGCAGCTGGATGCTTACCACCTGCCTGTTTGCTACCGTGATGAGACAGAGGAGGGTGAAGTGGGGGAGAAGGGAGAGGATGGGTAGGAGTAGGGGGGGATAAAGGGTGAGGTGCAGCCTGCAAAGGAGGCCAGGGGTGCGGCATAGGTACTGGCAGCTGGATGCTTACCACCTGCCTGTTTGCTACCGCGATGAGACAGAGGAGGGGGAGGAGGGGGAGAAGGGAGAGGAGGGGTAGGAGTGGGGGGAATAAAGCCTACAGCTGTGAAGGAGGCCAGGGGTGCGGCATAGGTACTGGCAGCTGGATGCTTATCACCTGCCTGTTTGCTACCGTGATGAGACAGAGGAGGGGGAGGAGGAGAAGGAACAGGAGGGAGAGGAGGGGGAGGAGGCATACGTACTTGGGCGGGGGTGCGGCATAGGTACTGGCAGCTGGATGCTTATCACCTGCCTGTTTGCTACCGTGGTGAGGGAGAGGAGGGTGAAGTGGGGGAGGGGGAGGAGGAAAGGGAGGGAAAAGAGGGTGTGGAAATTCAGTAGAGCAGCAAGTACTGGCAGCTGGATGCTTATCACCTGGCTGTACCTGGCTGTTTGCTACCGCACTGAGACTGAGGGAGCGGACGGGGAGAAGGGGAGGCAAAGGCTGGAGAGGAGGGAGTGAAAGAGGGAATAAAGGGCGGGAGATGTGCAATAGAGCAACAGCAATGTCATGTTTCGCAAAGGCTTACGCCTCTAAATGCCTAGGTGCATACAATCCGGCACTTAGTACGGTGGTGTTGAAGTAAATTGGATCTACCATGCTTCTACCAAGTTTACAGGATAAACAATAATGAAAACTCTCTGAACTCATTAATAAACGTACAAGAACAAGAGCATTTGGCCGAGTGGTTAAGGCGTGTGCCTGCTAAGTACATGGGCTCTGCCCGCGAGAGTATGAATCTCTCAGTGCTCGTGTGTTACGTAAGTGTTCCTTGTTGGCTCCGGATGGCGTAAGCCCCCGTGTTTTTACTAAATGTATGCTTTTGGGCATGTGTCACATGGTTTGGGAACACCGGAAAATCCGCTTCTTCCCTCGTCCCCCCAATGTCCCTCGGTTTTACCTTGTTTTCCGGGTTTTTAGTTACGGCAGAAGAGGTACTTCCGAACCTGCGCTTTCTAGGGACCTTCGTCTCTACCTGCACACAGTTTCCCAGGTTTCGCTGCCGAGACAGAAGACTTATCGCGCTAACACAGAACTCGTCTCCACATTAACCCACGTGTCATCATCTCGGAACCCATTTCTGTTGCTACTCAGGCAAACGGTGCACAGCACTGTTTTTTTTTTTTCGCACTAGACTAAATCCCTCTCCGCTGGCATGGTAATGAAGAGCATCAACCCTAAACACCAAGCGACCAAGTGTTTAGGGTTGATGCCAAAACTAAATCCCTCTTGGCTTGCATGTTAAATTTGGGGCATCAACCCTAAACACCTTGCGACTAGGTGTTTAGGGTTGATGCCCCAAAATTATATCCCACTTAGCGGGCATCAACCCTAAACGCCTTGTCGCGTGGTGTTTCGGGTTTATGCCCTTGAAAACTTGCCATCCGAGAGGGGTTTAGTTTTGTGCTTGCTGGCAGAATTCTGTCGACGAAAACAGTGCTTGCGTGACGTGCGGAGAAGCCGAGTTCTGTGTTAGCACGATAACTCTTCCGTCTCAGAAGCGGATCTGCGGAAAGTGTGCGCAAGTTGAGATGAAAGTCCCTCAAAAGAAAGACAGCTACAGTAAGCCTTCCGAGAAAACTAAAAACCCTTGTTTTCCTTCACCCCTCGATTTCTCCTCACGCCTTCACCTTGTTCGTGGAGCATTCTTGGGCCTTCACATCACACACCTCTGCGTTGCTCGCCTGCACGGCAATAGCCTTTTACGAAGTACGGTACTGTCATAAAAAGGTTATTATTAGAATTGCGAGATTGGAACTCGATAAAGTTGGCAAACTAAGCGGTTCGGGAGTTTGCCGTCAGCGTAGTTATCCAGCCTACGTAACAACCAGCGTATCTGACGTGTGCTAGCCTCCCATTCTCCTACGTAGCGGTCAGATCAACGAAATCCTGTCTCCAGATCGACGATCAGAAAGCGTCGCTAGAGAGCGTGTTTCGAGAAGATTATCGCGCACAGCCACGTGGTGAATTTGGAAGGCTATAATCAGAAGCGTTTTGTCTGGTCGAGAGTTAGAAAGCGTGTGTAGTCAGACTCTTCAGAAGAGCATCGCGCGCAGCCATGTGGAGAAAATCTCCTACCAACCCCCCATCAGGCCGCGAAGATCACCCGTTTCAGTACCCATCCTCCGATGCTCCTGCTGGCCCTAGCGCTACAGCTGCAGCTTATAGCGGCGCTGCTCGTCGTTCTCCTTCGCCTGCTGCGTACGGGGATACGTACCCAAGCACTGCAGCTGCAGCCGCAGCTTACACCGGTGCTGCTCGCCGTTCCCCTTCCCCTGCAGCTTACGCCTGTGCCGCGCGTCGTTCCCCCTCCCCTGCTGCGTACGGAGATACGTACGCGTACGAGGATGGTGGGTCTTACCAAGATGAACCGTTTCAACAGCAGAGTTCGTATCAACAGTATCCGTACGAGCAAGGCTCTTCGTACCAGCCGCACCAGCAGTACCAACGCGGATCGCGAAAGCAGCAGCAGCATCGCCGGCAGCAGCATCTGCACCAGCAGCAGCAGCCGCCGCAATTCGAAGAACCTGCCTGGCTTTCCCGTCAAGTAAAGGCCTGCGCTCCCGCCCCGAACGAGCTCTCATTGGTCGGCCGGCCGTGCCTTATCCACGAGGACGATGACGTGTCAGCTGACGTGGCGGGCGGCGGCGGGCTGCTTCCCTGGAAAGGGGAAGATTCTCTAATGATAGACCGCTTTGATGTCAGGCATCTATTGGACGATCTTAAAACTATCAGGCGGAAAAAGGGGGGACGAGGAGGGGGGAGAGGGGGAGGGGACGCAGGGGAAGGTGGGGAGGAGGAGGAGATGGAGAAGGAGAGATATGTAGAGCTGGATATGGTTGAGAAAGAGGAGAGGCGGAAGGCAGCAGCGGCAGAGGCGCAGAGAAAAGAGGAAGCGGCTGGGGGGACGGAGGATGTGTGGGGGAGGGCAGCAAGGCGCAGAGGAGGAGGATTCGCCGTGGCAGCGGCAGCATCAGAGAATGTTGCTGGGCATGGGCAGGGTACGAGGCCTGTGCTTTCTGGGAACCACAGCTTGCATGTGTTATGTGGTGACTTTTGAGTCGACTCAAAAGTCGAGGTGACTTTTGATTCGACTCAAAAGTCGCTTTCTGGGAACCACAGCTTGCATGTGTTATGTGTGTCTGTGCTAACGGGCTCCTTTGCTTCTCACCTGCTCTCTGTCTCAGAAGCTTCCCAAAGCTCATGCCCGATCATGTACCATCAAGATGCTTGTATGCTTCAACTCATTACTGCACGAAACAAAGAAAACAGGAAGAGCGAAGTAATCGCACATTCCATAATGCCAGGGCTGTCCAGTGTCCACCACACCACCCTCATTTTGGCTCTGGAGTTGCTGTGGAGTTCATTCTGTCTTTTTCATCCCCCATGCTATTTAATTGCCAGTTCACTGATGTTCTGCCCTGCCCCAATCCAGCCTCCTATTTTTCGTCCCTTTCCATTTCCTCTAGCATTCAAGCTTTCTGTTACAATATTTCCACTAAGTTACATTTTCCCCTCTCCATCCTTTATCCATAGTGCAGGTTCTTCCAGCAGCAGTTCTCTTCCGGCGTATCTGTGAGGGTTTTTGTACTCTAGTTGATTATTCCTTAGCGAACAGAAATCGTTTGATGTTTTCCCTTATCACTCTACATTTTCTCTGCACGTTTCTTCGCAGTTGCTCTCCTTGTGTCTCTTCCGCCTCTGCTCCTCCCGCTTCACTTCAATCCTCCCTTTTGTTTCTCCCTTCTTCTTGCGTTCCCTCTCCTCCCCCCGTCTTCTTTTCTCTCCCTTCACTCGTCCAGCGTCCCAGACGCCCACTCGCCCCGCCTATGCAGCTGTCGCCTTCAACTACGCCTCCTCTGCAGCCCCTGATGAGCAGCAAGGAACCCTCCCATCGTCTCCTCACAAGGCTGCTTCTGCTGGTGAAGGTGGTGATGCACAAGCATCAGCAGGAGCAGCTGCAGCAGCAGCAACAACAGGAGAAGCAGCAGGGGAAGGCAAAGGCAGCGGTTTTGTACCGCCCTTTGCAGTGCCCCCAGAGCTTCAGCAATGCCTGGTATGTTCCACCATTCCTTTTTGGGGTTTGAGAGGAAGGCGGGCGCACGGGCGGAGATTGTGCTGCGCGTGAAGCACAAGGGCAATCCTTCTTCGCCTCTCCCCTGACCACCCGCTCCACCTGTTCCTCCAGTTTCCACGTGATAATACAGACCTTATGAGACATCTCAAAAACTCTCCCCTGAACATCTAAATCTGAGTCGCGTTTGAGAACTCTCAAAAGCGACCCTGACCACCCGCTCCACCTGTTCCTCCAGTTTCCACGTGATAATACAGACCTTATGAGACGTCTCAAGAACTCTCCCCTCACCAACCTCTCCACCTGTTCTTCCGGTTTCTCTTTCTGATAAACCCGTTTCTTTCCTTCCGCCCATTCCCCTTTGTCTTCACATCCCCCCTCCCGTACCCCTTGCTGATGGTTTCCCAGCCCCCATCAGAGAAAGTATACACCATAATGGCACGCACTGCTTCATTCATACGAAAGGCGGGCGCACAGGCAGAGATCGTGCTGCGAGTGAAGCACAAGGGCAACCCCCCCTTCGCCTTCCTCTCCCCTGACCACTCCTTACCTTACACCCCCGTTCCTCCCTTCCACCCCCTTTTCTCATTACTTCCTTTTCCTTTTCCTCCCCCACCCATCTCCTGTTCCCCTTCCTTATTTTTCCCAGCCCCCAACTGAAAAGATTTACACCATAATGGTGCGGACTGCTTCATTTGTGAGGAAGGCGGGCGCACAGGCAGAGATTGTGCTGCGAGTGAAGCAGAAGGCTAATCCTGCCTTCGCCTTCCTCTTCCCTGACAACTCCTTGCACCCCCGTTCCTCCCTTCCGCCCCCCTTTCTCATTACTCCTTTTCCCCTTTTCCTCCCCCACCCATCTCCTGTTCCCCTTCCTTATTTTTCCCAGCCCCCAACTGAAAAGATTTACACCATAATGGTGCGGACTGCTTCATTCATACGAAAGGCGGGCGCACAGGCAGAGATCGTGCTGCGAGTGAAGCACAAGGGCAACCCCCCCTTCGCCTTCCTCTCTCTCACCCAACCCCTCAACCCCTCTTCCATTTCCCCTCCCCGACCCGTTTTCCAGCCTCCAACCGAAAAGGTTTACACCATAATGGCGCGCACTGCTGCATTCATACGAAAGGCGGGCGCACAGGCAGAGATTGTGCTGCGAGTGAAGCAAAAGAGCAATCCCGCCTTCTCCTTCCTCTCCCCTGACCACTCCTTACACCCCTTCTTCCGGTTCCTAGTGGCAAATCCTCAGTTGGTAGGGGAAGGGGGGAAGGGAAAGGGGAAGGGGCAGGGGGAAGGGAAGGGAGAGGAGGGAGAGGGTGGGGCGAAGGGAGGGAAGGAAGGGGTGGGTGTAGGTGAGGGGCAGGGGAGAGTAGGAGGTGAGAGGGGCGGGAGGGTGAGTGTGGAGAGGGGGAGCGCTGTCTCGCTGCTTGGTGCTGCTTATGGGGAGGATGAGGAGGATGGGGAGAAGGAGGAGGGTAAGGAGGAAGGGAAGGAAGAGCAGGAGAGGGAGGAGGGAGTTGAGGGGAGGAAGGGGAAAGAGGAGGAAGAGGGGGAGGATGAAGGGAGAGAAGGAGCCAGCAGAGAGGGGAGCGAAAGGCAACAGGGGGAACCAGCGGAGGAAGATGGAGCATCTGAGGAAAGGGTTACGGAGGAAAGGGTTACGGAGGAAAGGGTTATCGAGGGAGTGGAGGGAAGTAGGTGGTTCACTGAGGAGGTGTCTGAGGAAGGAAGTGGGGAAGGTGGGCCTGAGATCCCTTCTGAAGATAATGCCTTCCCGGAACAGCCTCCCCCAGAACAGCCTCCCCCAGTTGAGCCTCCAGTGGTCTCAGATGAGCCTCCCCCTCCTGGGATGGAGACAGGAGAAGAAGCAGGGAGAGCGGATCGAGGAGGAGGGGAGGGTGAGGGAGGAGAGGAGGGAGAGAAAGGCGATGAATGGGCGGAGGGAGGAGCAGCAGCAGGAGCTGCAGGAGGAGCGGGAGGAGCAGGAGCTGCGGGAGAATCAGGTGGAGAAGGAGGAGGAAGAGTAACAGCAGGGGCGACAGGAGGGGAGGAGGCGGAAGAAGTGCCTGAGTCGGTGCGGGGCGTGGTGGGGAAGATGGTGGAATTTATAGTGCGCAACGGGCACGAGTTTGAGAGCATTGTGCGGCAGAGGGACGCTGGGGAGGGGCGCTTTCCGTTCCTGCTGCCGGGAGACCGCTTCCACGCCTACTACCAGCGCACACTGAAGGAAGCTCTGGAGGTGAGAGTGGGTGTGTGAGGGTGTAAGGGGAATAGAGGCACCAGAGTCAGTAGTACGCCCCCTTCCTGCTGCCGGGAGACCGCTTCCACGCCTACTACCAGCGCACACTGAAAGAAGCTCTAGAGGTGAGATTGTGTGGCGTCAGGAACACAAGACTTAGGAGGTGAGGGTTTCAGGTTTAGGGTTAGAATCAAAGGCTTTGCTGCTAAAGTGGGTGTGTCGGGTGGTGGGGAAGATGGTGGAGTTATAGTGCGCAACGGGCATGAGTTTGAGAGCATTGTGCGGCAGAGGGACGCGGGGGAGGGGTGCTTCCCTTTCTTATTGCCTGGGGACCGCTTTCACGCCTACTACCAACGCACGCTAAAGGAGGCTTTGGAGGTGAGAGCGCGTGCAGTCAGGGATAGGAGACATGTAGGCTGGGGATTCAGGGTTCAGGGTTTGGTTCAGGGCTTATTAGGGTTTGGGGTGTAGGGTTTAGGTGCCAGAGTGGGAGCGAAGGCTGTTGGGAAGATGGTGGGGCTCATAGTGCGCAACGGGCACGAGTCTGAAAGCATTGTGCGGCACAGGGATGCTGGGGAGGGGCGCTTCCCACTCTTGTTGTCTGGGGATCGCTTTTACGCCTACTACCAACGAACACTAAAGGAAGCTCTGGAGGTGAGAGTGTGTGACGTCACGGACAGGAGACATGGAGGGCTCAGGGTTTAGATTTAAGGTTTCGGGTCTCGGGTAGGTCAGGGTTTAGGTGCCAGGTTGGGAGCAGGGGGGGGTGGTGGGGAAGATGGTGGAGTTCATAGTGTGCAACGGGCATGAGTTTGAGAGCATTGTGCGGCAGAGGGATGCTGGGGAGGGGCGCTTCCCTTTCCTCTTGTGTTGCCGGGAGACCACTTTCACGCCTACTACCAACGAACACTGAAGGAAGCTCTGGAGGTGAGTGAGAGTGTGTGAAGTCAGGGGCAGGAGACATAAAGGGCTCAGGGTTTAGGGTTTAGGTGCCAGGTTGGGAGTTGGGGTGGTGGTGGGGAAGATGGTGGGGTTTATAGTGCGCAACGGGCACGAGTTTGAGAGCATTGTGCGGCAGAGGGGCGCTCCCCGTTTCTCTTGCCGGGAGACCCGTTTTCGCAGCTACTACCAGCGAACACTCAAGGAGGCTGTGGAGGTGAGAGTGGGAGAGGGGTGAGTGCATGCGGGGTTGGGCTGGCCTATTCTAATGTTAGCAGCGGGATGCGGGGGAGGGGCGCTACCCGTTCTTATTGCCTGGGTATCGTATCTCTTCCACTCCTACCACCAGCGACTTTTGAGGCGCCTCACAAGGATGCGGGGGAGGGGCGCTACCCGTTCTTGTTGCCTGGGTATCGTACCTCTTCCACTCCTACCACCAGCGCACCCTAAAGGAGGCTCTGGAGGTGAGAGGGAGTGTGGAATGACAGGGGGGTTTGGGCTGCCTGCGCTAGTGGTGAGTATGTGAGGGACTGAGAGGGACAGAATCATCAGGGTTAGTCCTCCTCCTTCTTCATGTCGCCAGGAGGCCCCTTTTACAGTTACTACCAGTGCACGCACACTGCAAAAGGCTCTGCAGGTGAGAGTGTGTGGAGTCAGGGACAGGACCCGCCTGGAGGAGGGGTGAGGGTGTAAGGTTTAGAAATTAGGGTTCAGGCTTTGTGGTGGTTTACTGTTTAGGGTTCAGAGTCTAGTTGCTGGAGTGATGCGGGGTGTGGCGGGGAAGGTGGAGGGGTGTGGCGGGGAAGGTGGAGGGGTGTGGTGGGGAAGGTGGAGGGGTGTGGTGGGGAAGGTGGAGGGGTGTGGCGGGGAAGGTGGAGGGGTGTGGTGGGGAAGGTGGAGGGGTGTGGCGGGGAAGGTGGAGGGGTGTGGTGGGGAAGGTGGAGGGGTGTGGTGGGGAAGGTGGAGGGGTGTGGCGGGGAAGGTGGAGGGGTGTGGTGGGGAAGGTGGAGGGGTGTGGCGGGGAAGGTGGAGGGGTGTGGTGGGGAAGGTGGAGGGGTGTGGCAGGGAAGGTGGAGGGGTGTGGTGGGGAAGGTGGAGTGGTGTGGTGGGGAAGGTGGAGTGGAGGCGTACATTGTGTGCCACAGCCCCTCGGAGTTGCGGGTTGGCTTTTGAGTATTTCCAAAAACACCCTGCAGCTTCAAGGGTGGTGGAATACGTTGTGTACCACACCCATTTCCGCCATCCCAGGCGTGTTTTGAGTCGACTTAAAACACGACCCTGCAGCTTCAATCAAGGGTGGTGGAATACGTGTGTTTTGAGTCGACTCAAAACACGACCCTGCAGCTTCAATCAAGGGTGGTGGAATACGTGTGTTTTGAGTCGACTCAAAACACGACCCTGCAGCTTCAATCAAGGGTGGTGGAATACGATACGTTGTGTACCACTCCCATTTCCGCCCTCCCAGTCGGACTACTTGTGCATCAGCCCCTGCCGTGCTGCCTGGCAAACTTCCCGTGCCTAGAACTGGATGTGCTTCTCTCATTCCATCCCACCCTTTCTTATCGAGATGACTTTTGAGTCGACTCAAAAGACTTCCCGTGCCTGGAACTGGATGTGCTTCTCTCATTCCATCCCACCCTTTCTTATCGAGATGACTTTTGAGTCGACTCAAAAGACTTCCCGTGCCTGGAACTGGATGTGCTTCTCTCATTCCATCCCACCCTTTCTTATCGAGATGACTTTTGAGTCGACTCAAAAGACTTCCCGTGCCTGGAACTGGATGTGCTTCTCTCATTCCATCCCACCCTTTCTTATCGAGATGACTTTTGAGTCGACTCAAAAGACTTCCCGTGCCTGGAACTGGATGTGCTTCTCTCATTCCATCCCACCCTTTCTTATCGAGATGACTTTTGAGTCGACTCAAAAGACTTCCCGTGCCTGGAACTGGATGTGCTTCTCTCATTCCATCCCACCCTTTCTTATCGAGATGACTTTTGAGTCGACTCAAAAGACTTCCCGTGCCTGGAACTGGATGTGCTTCTCTCATTCCATCCCACCCTTTCTTATCGAGATGACTTTTGAGTCGACTCAAAAGACTTCCCGTGCCTGGAACTGGATGTGCTTCTCTCATTCCATCCCACCCTTTCTTATCGAGATGACTTTTGAGTCGACTCAAAAGACTTCCCGTGCCTGGAACTGGATGTGCTTCTCTCATTCCATCCCACCCTTTCTTATCGAGATGACTTTTGAGTCGACTCAAAAGACTTCCCGTGCCTGGAACTGGATGTGCTTCTCTCATTCCATCCCACCCTTTCTTATCGAGATGACTTTTGAGTCGACTCAAAAGACTTCCCGTGCCTGGAACTGGATGTGCTTCTCTCATTCCATCCCACCCTTTCTTATCGAGATGACTTTTGAGTCGACTCAAAAGACTTCCCGTGCCTGGAACTGGATGTGCTTCTCTCATTCCATCCCACCCTTTCTTATCCCCCTTTCCCATCCCCCTCTTCCCCCCCACAGCGCGCCAATGCCCCTCTGGTGTTGATGCCACAGCCACCCCCTCGCCCTCGCCTCCCCACTGCGGTCCTACCAGGCAAACTGCCCGTGCCTGCATGCCTCTCTCTCACTCCTCCCCTCCTTCTCCCCTTTCCCCCCATTCCTGCCCCTCTCCTCCTCCACCACAGCGCGCCAATGCCCCTCTTGTGTTGATGCCTCAGCCATCCCCTCGAGCTCGGGCCCCCACTGCCATGCTGCCAGGAAAACTGCCTGTCCTTCTCCTCTTCCTGCCACAATCTCATTCTTGCTCCCCCCTGTCCTCTTCCTTGTCTCCTTTCCTATCCGCCTCTTATCCTGTCCCCACATTCCCCTTTCCCCCCACAGCGCGCCAATGCCCCTCAGGTGTTGATGCCACAGCCGCCCCCTCGCCCTCGCCCCCCCATTGCCGTACTGCCAGGCAAACTGCCCGTGCCTGCTTGTCTCAGTCTCATTGCTTCTGTTCTTCCCCTCTATCCCAATCCTCTCCCCCTTCTCCTTTTCTGTCCTTCCCCCCCACAGCGCGCCAATGCTCCTCTGGTGTTGATGCCGCAACCGCCCCCTCGCCCTCGCCCCCCCACTGCTGTCCTTCCCGGGAAGCTGCCCGTGCCTGCTGTCCGCAAACTGAGGGGGGCAGAGGCGGGTGTGGTTCTAAGAGATGTGACTCTAGCGGGAGGGGAGTCTGGTAGGGGTGGTGAGGCGGAGGGAGGGGAGGAGGAGGGTGAGAGGGAGAGGGGGGAGGAGAAGGGGGAGGGAGCTGAGGGTGGAAAGGGTGGGGAGGGGAGTGAGAGTGAGGGAGAGGAGGGGACCAAGGGTGGGGAGGCGAGTGGGAGCGAGGGAGAGGAAGGGGAGATACGAGGGCAGGCGGGAGGGAAGAGGGGCAAGAAAAAGGGCGTTCAAGAGTCGGATGAGGAGGGGGAGAGTGGGGAGATTGTGAGTGAGGGGGAGGGAGAGGAGGGAGAGAAGGGAGAGAAGGGAAAGAAGGGAGGGGAAGGAGGGGGTGATAAGGAAGAGGAGGGGAGCAGAGAAGCGGCAAAGGGGGCAGCTGTGGCTGGTGGTAGGCTCAGTGCCGCAGCAGTGGCAGCAGCAGTGCGTGCAGCGACGAGCAGGTTCCTTCCCTCCTCTCACACCGCTTCTTCTGCCCTTCCAGCTGCTGCAGCAACAACCGGTGCTGCTGCCACTTCCACTGCTCCCTTTGTTTCACCCGCTGCTGCACCCGCCAAAGCTGTTGCTCTGGTGTTTGGAGAGGAAGAGACTGAGGGTGGGGCTGGGGGGAAAGGTGGTGGGGCTGCTCCTGCTGCTGGTGCTGCTGCTACTTCTTCTGCTCCCTCTGCTGCACCTGCCAAGGCTGCTGCATTGGTGTTTGGAGAGGAAGAGACTGAGGGTGGGGCCGGGGGGAAAGGCACTGCTGGTGGTGCTAGTGCTGGTGCTCGTGCTGCTGCTGGTTCAGGTGCTGGTAACACAGGTGGTAACCGCATGAGCGCTGCAGCAGTGTTGGAGATTCTGAGGGGAAGGAGGCCCGGGAGTGGACCAGGCAGGTCAGTCACTGGGCAGGGGTCTGCTCGTCCTGCTGGTCAATCTGCTGCTGACTTATCTGCTGCACCTTCTGCTGCTCCTCACGCTACTGTCACTGGTGTTGCCCCTCCTCCATCTCTCATTCCTACTGCTGCTGCTCCTGGTGGTTCCGGTGCTGCTGCTGCTGCTGCTGCTGCTGCTGCTGCTGCTGCTGCTGCTGCTGGTGATGGTGGTTCTGCTGCTGCTGGTGCTGCTGCGGTGCAAGGAGGGGCTGTTGAGGAACTAACAGCAGAGGAGCAGAGGCGGGTGGAGAGGAGGCGCAAGGCAAAGCTCTTCTCTGCCATGCTCTCATCTACAGCCGGTTCTGCTGTATCCGGTGCTGCTGTATCCGGTACGTCTGCTGCAGGGAGCAGTGCTGCTGCTGGCGTTCCCACAGAAAGGGGGGGGGGCACTGATGCGGCAGCAGTAGGGGGCAGTGGTGGTGTAACCACGCAAGGGGCTGAGGTTGCTCTGGTGGCAGCGGCGGCAGCTGCAGCAGCAGCAGTGGCCAAAGCACTGCCCCTTCTTGGCTTGTCAGGACAGGTTGATGCTGGCGTTGGGAAGGGTGGAGGGGGAGGAGGGAGGGCAAGCAAAGGAGCAACGGGAGGAGCATTTGGAGGGGCAAAGGCAGAGGTGAATGGAGTGGAAAGTGGATCGGTTGAGATGGGGAAGGGGAAAGTCAGATCGAAAGGAGAAGCAGAAGCAGGTGATGCAGCGGGGGAAGGGGGGAGCAGGGCGGAGGGAGAGAGGAGCGATAAAGAGGAGAGAAGGGGGGACAGGGAGGAGGGTGGGAAGGAAAGTGGGAGGTCGAGGAAAAAGGAGATGAGGAGTGGAAAGAGGAGGGTTGAAGAGCCTCGAAGGAGCAGCAGCGAAAGCAGTTATAGCCGGGGAAGCAGAGAACGTAGCGAAAATGGGGATATCAGAGGAAGCAGCGAAAGCAGAGGAAGCAGAGGAAGGGGAGTAAGAAGAGAAAGGAGAGGTGGAAGCAAAGGAGACGGAAGAACGAGAATAGGAGGAAGGAAGAGCCGCCCTGCAAGTAGCCGGGATTCCAGCAAGGAGCGCAAGCCAAGTAGGGAACGCAAACCAAGCAAGGAGCGCAAACCAAGCAGGGAACGCAAGGCAAAGGTCGTCCGGAAGAAAATTAAGCGCTCTCACTCACACTCCCCATCCTTGTCCCGGTCTCCCTCCTTGTCAACACCATCATCCCGTTCTCGCTCCATCGCTTCTCATTCCTCCCCATCCTCCTCCCCTTCCTCCTCGTTTTCCTCTAGGTCCTCGTCCCCCTCATCTCCCTCTCGGTCACTTAGGAAAAGCCGCGGGCACTTAGGAAAAGCTGCGGGCATGAGGAGAAGCCGTGGGCACTTAGGAAAAGGGAGTGGCGGTGACAAGAGGAAAAGGCGTGAGAGTTCTAGTGAGGGGAGTGACAGAGATGAGAGGGAACGGCGTGGGCGGTCTATGTCGAGTTCTCCTATAACAAGGATAAAGGAAAAGGAGAGGAAAGGGAGAGGAGATGGGAAGGGGAAGAAGGCAGAGGAGAGGGAAGGGAAGAGGGGAAGGGAGAGGGGGGGAGGGGAGAGGGAAAAGAGAGGGGAGGGGAAGAGGGAAAGGGACGACCATAGAGAGAGGGATAGGGTGATGAAAAGGAGGTCAGTGTCTCCTGAAAGAAAGCGCATGAGAGGAGAGGGCAAAGGCAAGGAGAGCAAGCATACAGTCGAGGCAAAGCCAAGGGAAGAACAGAGGAAAGGTAGTGGGAAGGAGAGAGCAGCTGCGCCTGCATTTGGCGTGAAAAGGGAGTCACGTGAAGAGGAGAGCAATCAGGGGGGGAGGGAGATGGGGGAGAGCAAGGTGGGTGCGGAGGGGTATCCTGCAGCAAGTGTGAGTGTGCCTGATGACATTCGAGCCAAGGTGAAGGCGCTGCTGCGGAAGCTGTGAATGATGCTGATTTCGTGTACTCTCAACTGAATGCCAGGGTCTGGCGTTAGTATTGCAGGTTGGTAGATGACCTGATGGGGTGACGTTCGGTTCGAGGCTCGAGCCAAGGTGAAAGCCCTGCTGTGGAAGCTGTGAAGTAGGATGATTGATGTCCTCTGAAGTAGAAGATCTTCATTGCACACTGCATTATGTAGTGACGTGGCGATAAGTTGACATTCTAGCCAAGGTGAAGGCCCTGCTGTGTAAGCTGTGAGGCAGGGTGATTTGATTTTGTTGCCCTCTGAAGTACCGTAAGCATTGCACACTGCATTGAGATGTATTTGAGCCAACATAGAGAGAGAATTGCTCCAGGGCCTTGTTTGGTGATTCGCTCTTGCCCACGTGTCCCCGAATTGCTCGCGTTAACATCCAATTCAGTGATAATTGCTCGAGTGGCCACGCCAGGGCATTTTAGAGGAATGTGCCGGGGAAAAAAAACACATCGAAAATGCCCTGACGTGGCCACTCGAGCAATTATCACTGAATTGGATGGTCACGCGAGCAATTCGGGGACACGTGGGCAAGAGCGAATCACCAAACAAGGCCCTGGAGCAATTCTCTCCAACATAGAGGTCCTGTTGCGCAAGCTGTGAATGACGCTGATTCCATGTTCTCTCAACTAAATTCTGTGTTTCGGTTTGGTGGATGAGCTGATGGGATGGCATATCAGCCAAGGATGAAGGCTCTGCTTTGCAAGCTGCAAAGAAGGTTGTTGGCCTCTGAAGTATCCATGTTTAGGTGGCATTCGAGCCAAGGTGAAGGGCGCAAGCCAAGGGGGGGCCGTCTGAAGGATCAAGCGAAAATGTTTGCAGATTGACTTGTATAGTGACAATGTTACAGTGCTGTAGTGCAAGAATTCTACAGTGCTATCTGGCTACAGAGCGTGGGGCCAGCACACGGATTATGTGCCACTCAATCTCGGGCTCCTAATAAAGAGGACCAAGGGCGAGAAGTGGAGGGGAGGAGGCCGCAGCCGCAAACTCTCCCTCCCTCCCCCACTCACTCACTTCCTCGCTCACTCCCTCTCTCACCCCCTCCTTCAAAGACAATAGCTCCGCATTCGCCCCCTCCTGATCGCACCTCACTCGCAGCCCTTCGTCCACCCGCCACAAAATAACAAACTTATTGCGACCTTTCTCCCACCCCTGGGTCGCCGCGGCGGTCGCAACAGTCGCACAAGTCGCAGCGGTCGCAGCTGTCGCAGGCGTCGCAGCTCACGACACGTTGATGCGAACTTTGATGTTGCGCGCGCAGTCGTCGCCGATGCTGCTGCCGAAATACAGCGTCGTTCGCGACTCAGTGGGCGCAACTGTGTAACGAATCATTCCCCAGTACCCCTGCGGGGCCACCGTCTTGGCGAAACCGAACCAGCACGCGGTGTAACCTAGCGGCGTCGCCCACTGTCGCACGTTTCGCATGCCGATCCAGCGGAAGACTGTACAGCGGGGATGGGCGCGGGGAGGGGCGGAGAAGAATGGCGTGTGGGGAGCGTGTGAGGGTTGTGAGTCAGGCTTCAGTGGGGCATGTGAGGAATATGGGTGTGGCAGGGCTAAAGAGCTCATGGGGGTTGGGAGTCAGTTTTCAGTGGGCCGAGTGAAGGACATGTGCCGTAGCAGTGGGAACGAACACGTGCGAAGGGCCGTGCTGTGCAGAGCTTATCAGAAGCACGGCAGTGCAGTGCAGGGAAGGGCAGTGCAGTGGAGTGCAGTGGAGCGCGCGGCCCTTTTCCCCCAGTGCGAGCAGTTTGCTGGTCGAATGGGGAGCATGCAGAACAATGTTGACCGTCCTATGAGCTTGTACAAACCGCGGGTACGGTAGTACCTCAACGTGAGTCGGCTCTTACCGAGTACGTCGCCGGCCACGACGGTGGGTTGCTTCCACGAAGATACGCCATACGCCCACGGGCTGAGGAAAGTCCAGATGTCAGTTCCCTGCCCCACTGTTATCATCTTAGCGTCCGCCGAGCCTGCAACATGGACATGCAAATGAAAAGGGATTTGTTTTGAGACGTCTCAAAACAGATGTCAGTTCCCTGCCCCACTGTTATCGTCTTAGCATCCGCCGAGCCTGCAACAACGGAGAAACACGAGTGATGCAGAAGTGGGGAGAGAGGGTACAAGGAAGGAGGAGTTGGGGAGAGAGGCAGGAGGAGGGATAAATTCTAATAGTTGATGCAAGGATGCCATGTGCGCATAGAGAGTAGGGAGTCAAGAAGCCTTACCGATGCAGACTACGGCGAGTACAAGCCCGAGCAGCACCAGATGCCGAGAGGCCATTGGTCACAATGAGATGTGAGAAGGGAGAGTTTGGTGCTATGTGATGATTGATGGGGACACTGGGGGGTTGGCGTTGGGAAGAGTGGCGCACTGATATGGAGGTATATGCTAATGAAGTGCATTCGTTTCGGCTTCTAGATACTAATGGAGATTCTTTCGTTCGACCTTATGAATGCACGCTGATCTCGTTTTTTTGTCCCTGCAGATTCTAACAGATACCACTGGGAGGGAGCACCGCACCGAGCAGCGAAAATGCGCGCAGTGGGGTGGCGACGGCGAGAGGACTTGCTGCGAGAGATCTCTGATCAAGTGATACGAGCCGAAGGCGGGGATCGTGGATCAGAGGGCATCCACATTCTGAATTCTGTTTTTCTTCAGGCGCTTCGGGCACATTCACCAGGGCAATTTCTGTAATGTACGAAGCGCGAATTTGGGAAACAACAATCGGAATTTTGCGGGCGCGGGAACTTTTGTCAGCGGTTCGGCGAATTCAGCGAGGAGATCAGGGGGTGTCAGGACTTTCGCGAGCAAAGCTCGTCAGTGCTTGAGTAGGGGTCGGTGCGGTGACCCAAACCAAATGTCGGCGACGAAGAATTTGCGAAAACGCTTGCGTGGGTCACTGACACACACACCCTACGTGCGGACCCTGTGGAAACAAAAAGCAATTCGAATTGTAAATCCTTCAATAGTGTTACGGGTGCAATGGAACGAGGTAGAGATAAATGCACTCAAGTGTCAAACGAGTACAAAGTATGAGCGAAGGCATGAGCAAATACTTATAAGCGAAAATGCAAACGGTAACGCGGCGCGTGCGAGCTAGCTAGTGCGACACTGACATCAAGGTTCGGGCTATTCCCGAGGTGTAGGCCGACTCGGTCAGGCCAGCGATGCATGGTTTGGTGAATAGTGCGCGCGAAGGTTGGCGAAGCCCCGTTAGCAGTAACGGGCGAGCAACGGCTGCTGCTGTACGCAGTGTTGTAGCACGCGATAAGGAATGTCGAGAAAATTCCTTACACTACCCCCCCCCCCCCCTCAAGAAGCCCCCTCCTCTACGCGAGTGCGTGTATATCGCGGAAACCCCGGCTCCATAGGTACACTTGCAGGGCAGGGTGGTTTTCGATGTTGGCCAAGGGCACCCAGCTGTCCTTCGCTGGGGTGCGGTCCTTCCAGCGAACGAGGAACTCAATCCTCCGAATTCCGGTGGGGTGACGAATCCGATGGCTCGGATTTTTTTTCGGGGTCAATGATCGGCTCCGATGCAGGGCGTGTCAAATGTCAATGTTATGATAGGCTGCAATGAGGTACTCCCTAGAGAGTATAGCTTTTGTAGGATTCCTATTTGTACCCTTGCAAACCCTAATTCCAATCATTCCGTTGCATTCCTATTCTGAGATGGTATCACGAGTAGGTTAGATCCTCGTTCGTTCTTAGCTAGCCTCCGCGCCCTACGTGCCCTCCGTGCTCTCGCGCCCTCCGCGCCCTCCGCGCCCTCCGCGCCCTCCCCGCGCCTAGCCCGCGCCCTCCCGCGCTGTCCAGCCCGTCGCGCGCCCTCCTTAGACCACCGCGCGCCCTCCCCCACCGTCGCGCGCCCTCCTCAACCGTCGCGCCCCCTCCTAAACCGTCGCGCGCCCTCCTTAGACCGCCGCGCGCCCTCCCCTACCGTCGCGCGCCCTCCTCAACCGTCGCGCGCCCTCCTTAGACCGTCGCGTGCCCTCCCCTCCGCCTGTCGCGCGCCCTCCTCCGTCAACCTTCCCGCACACCTGCGTGCACTTACCGCACACCTGCGTGCGCTTACCGCACACCTGCGTGCGCTTCCCGCACACCTGCGTGCGCTTCCCGCACACCTGCGTGCGCTTCCCGCATCCCTTTGTGCGCTTACTGCATCTCTCTCCCCTTCACCTGTGCCCCGGTCCCACGCCATTCCTACTGCACTTGGCTCCCGGCTCAGCGGCTGGCAGCCGCCCTTCCCTCCGGTAGCGCCACCTAGGTTCGGTTAGAGCCCCGCCCCCACGACTCTCTTCTCGCCGACTGTCTCTCGTCGGTTTCCCCGCTGGCGTCCCTAGCCCTCCGTAGTTTTCCT